ATAATTAGTAATAATTATGAGGCACCAAGCTGGAAAATCACACTTTAGTAATTCAGTCAACAGCGCAGATAACTGTCAACTATATGTAAAATAAGCAGCAAAAAAAGTGAACTTGATCATTTACATCATGATACCCATTCAATAGATTGAAACTGTGGCCAGCAGAAAAACAAATACATGTCTGTTGTGATGTTTTTACTAATTTCTTCCCTATGGAATACAGCAGACAGGCCTTTACAACTATTTCATCTTTATTTGTCTAATTATTTGAAGCATCAGTTCTTAATGCAAACGTATTTATTTTCCAAAATACAAACACAGTTGGCTCAATGTTGGAAACATTAAATCATTTGTAATTTTCCTTGTGTGTGTATTAAAAACATTGCCAGCACATTTCGTGATTGAGTGAACAATCGTAATCAACTTAACCCTGAACCTCTCCAGTGAAGAACTGCACTCAGACAATAAATTCTCAATGGTGTCGACATTTGTAGCTGCAGTTTAACACAAATGACTTTGGCTGCTGATGTCAACTAATAATTTTACTTTAACATTAGATAAAAGAAGACATCTTTTAAATAAAATAAAGTCTATCAATGCCTCCATTGTCAATAAGATAAAACCAGAAAGACCACAATGTGATGTCACGAAGATTTGTTGGTTAACAGGTTTTTCCTTACTTAGCTTGAACCACAAACTTTATGTCCCACGTTATAGTAACTCTGTTTAATAAAGAAGCTGGGCTGAAGAACAAGCTAGACTTGACTAAGTAATTATTTCCTAATTTAGCCAATGGATACTTATTTTTAGAGCTTTTCTTTTAAAGCTTTTCTTTTCTTGTTAGACAGAGCTTCTAAGTCCTGCTGTTTTGTCAAGCTGCTGACAGAATGCTGACAACTAACCTGTTTTAGTGTCTGTTTGGCTTTAGAGTAAGCTATTCACCTAAGTGACATGTTTTTTTATAAAATAAAATACAATTACAGAACAAACATAACAATAATAATGATAATAATAATTCAAATCTAAATAAATATGACAATTCAAATGTAATGTAATTTATTAATTTCAATTTAATTTTTTATTTAAAATAAAAAATCCCACTGAGATTAAATCCAGTCAGGTTAAGTCAATGTTTTTGTACAGCCCAAACTTGTAGAACAAATTCTGCCTCAATGGACTTTAAAGCTTTTACATTATGAGCCTCTTTTTCATTGAGGACTTGGCCAAGATAGGCTGTGAGGTGCACTTAAGAAAGTGCAAATCAGTGTTTTAGAAAAAGAAATTATTATTTTAGCTTTCCTACATTTTTGCTAAAAAGAAACCCATACAAAGGAATGTCATTTTAATTTCTATACTGTCACTTCTTGGCATTTTTACATTTTTATCAAGTTACACATTCTATTCAACATTGAAATAAATCATGTCAAATCAAGTCATAGTCAAAAGATCAACCAGGATACAAAGAAATACAGCTAAACTTGTGTTTGGACTTTAAGTATCTGCTATGTACCATACAATACCATTATAACATTTTTCAAGTCCAGGTAGACACTATATTTTGTGGAGACTAATCAATAAACATACATTTTTCTGATCTGCCCATTGACCACTTGTGTGCAGTAGTTTTAGTCACAATATAAACCAAAAAGGAGCAACTGAACACCTCTGACAGGCAGGACAATGGTTAAAATTAGGCTTCTTCTTTATGCATCTGTGCACCTAATGTGAATCGCCCCAACGTCCTCCTGTCTTCATAAAGTTGCGTGAACTGACAAGACCCTCTGAAAGACCCACAACCCATTTATTAACCTGCCACTGCACCACGTAACAAATTACCAGGAAGCTTTGGCTGAACACTGACAGAAGTGGATGATCATTGAGGTCATTGCAGTTGAATTTAAAACATCGTTCTCTCTATTGTGGCCAAGTGATAAAATAATTACACTGACAAGATATATGCCATAAGTCAAATGGCAACTAAGTAAGAAATGAAGGCTCACTCTGCGTAAACTCAGCTTGTGTCTGAGAGTGACTGTTTTTTGATGTTGACGGGTCAGTTAAGTTCACAAAACCAGTTGTGAACCAGTTTTACAGAATCCAACAACAAAACAAGCTTGACGGGTGAAAGCAAGGGAGAAGATGTAAATATCTTTGTGTGAAAGTGAGATGCAACTGGCAGAAACCAAAAAAAAAAAAAAATCACCTTTGTGTAATGCAAATATCTGGCCAATATCTACCAACGTTGATCACAGCTTTTTATTCACCAGGTTTGTGACAACAAAATGTCTATGCAATGAAAAGCAAAGTGACGCTAGCAAGAGCTACAAGTCTGAGCTAGGTTAAGGTGTTCTGTGAAGCACTAAAACAGTAAGAACACAGATGCCCTCCAAAAAAACAAAATATACGTAAACATTAACCAAATCCTGAAATGTCTTGGTTGACACCTTGTACTTTCATTTCTGCAGAGGAAATTTTATGTTTTCAAGCAGTGAACTGTAAATGCATAATAAAGAGTTAATGCAAACACACCTATTTTTACTATATTTTATTTTCTACTTCAATTAGAGTCAGTAAGAAAATTGAGGAATACAATTGATGAAGTTATATTGATAATAAAATTGAAAAGTTACTTCTAATCAATTCCCAACCTGTCTTAACAATTGTTAATTAAAAGTGCAATAGAGTGAAAACAAGACCAATGTTGAAATCTAGACGTTTTACAGATTTGCAGTGTTTTGCCAGACAAGACCAATGTTGAAATCTAGAAGTTTTACAGATTTGCAGTGTTTTGCCAGCATCTTGTTAAAAAAATAGATATATTACATTTCAAGCAATGATGGGCTTTAAAATGCTATGCCGTGGTTTAAAAATTACAATTAACATCAATAGTGATTGCTTAATTTTAGTCAAGAAAAACATCCAGCATTTTCACACAGGCAATTTTGCAATAACCGTTACAAAAACATTTATATAAAAAATGCTTTACAGTTTTAGGTCAGGGGTCAGGTGTCCAAAAATGTAGGGATAATTTGGGGTTGCTTTGCAAAGCATGCAGATACCTGATGCTTGAAAATTATGCACAAGTTATGCAACAGCCATATCATATGAAATGCAAGACAAGCAAAAATCAGGTGGCCATGCCCCCTCATTTAGGTCACTTGAGTTCTTCAACAGAGGAAAGCAGGATAAGGCTCAGCCTATTGAACTGCAGCAGATGATTTGGTGGTTTAATAGAGTCTTACTAAGACTTGCTGTCTTTCTTTTTTCTGGTGTGGAGTGGAAAAAAAGGGAGTAAATCAAAGCTCTCATCCAGTGAAAAGAAGACAATTCCTAGAGTTTTCTGTTGGACTAAAACATCACATCACAGCATGGCTGTGGAAAAAAAAATCTGGACGCTGTTTCACATAATCTGGGTCTGAAAGTAGTTAGTAGCAAAGAAGGGTAGAACCTGCTTATGCTTTACATTACTATGTGATTCTTGAGGTGGACTGATTTAAGACTATAGACACCTTAAATGGGTGTAGCTGAGATGTTGCAACCCCCTCAAAAACTGCAAGTAAATAATAACAAGAGTAATGAAACAAAAAAATGTTTATAGCAACTGAAATGATAAATGTTAAAGTTCTCCTAAGCAAGGAATGTTTTGATAAAACAAAATGTGATGTTCTTGTTTAACAGATACTATTAAACACAGAGGTACAGCTGGATTGTGCAAAAGATAAATTGGGGGCAACATTGAACACCATAATTGCTGTACTATTGGTAAACCATACAAGCATTTGTCAACTAAGCCAATATTGGGCACTGACCACCTTTCCATCACATTGTAGCCACTGTTTGTCAACATCCCCTCATCTATGCTTTTATTAATATAATTGTAAATTACAAAACTGTCCCAAAATCTATACATATGCAATAGGAATTGACACCATGAGATTGACTGGAAAATGTTTACTAATGTTAAATTTCAAATGGGAAATCATTGTTGTTGTTTTGTTTGTTTGTTTGTTTCACATGGACATACACAACCCAGCTACTTAAAACTATGCAGTATATTGAAACTACAGGCTGCAACGGTGATAACAATGTGTTTCAATGACTTTTCTCTTTGTAATCAGCAGTGACTGTGTATCCCACATAACAAACTTTGAAAATAATAAACTGATAAGATAAATTGTGTTCCTTGGAAAATACATTTGTACGTTTCTCAGAAGCAGTTGCACTCCGTTAATACAATACGTTCGTTTCAGGCGACAGCCTAAAAGAATGAACAAAAAAGTTTGCAGGTGTGTAGAACAAAAAGCACCCATTACTCGAAACATCCCCGTGTGAAAAGAAAATAACGTAACTGCAGACTTGTTGGATGCAGTGTCCATGCACGAATTCCTCCCCCATCTACAGTGTCACACAGTGGTGCGGCTGCAGCTGCAGCAGCAGTCTGACGAGGGGCAGGAGAAGAAAAAGAAATCCACCAACTTTCTGTCTTGATTTAATCCAAACCTCATGCTCATCATCCCCATTGACACTCACACACGTACTGAACTTTGCGCTGCACGATATGGGTTTCCCTAATCGAACTGGTTGGCCAAGAGCTCAGAAACACAACCAAGAGTATTCAAGCTCAATTGAAAGAAGCAATAGTGTTGGCTTTAGGAGGAACAACACCATTTAAACAGGACGAGACAGGCGCACACACACACTGGCGGCTGCCACCGCAACCTTCTCCGGTGAGGCTAACCGGCTAGCTTCCTCCCCTAGAACCGAAACACATCTCCTGTTAGTGAGAGAAACACCACCTCACATAAAACAACACGTTCACGGCATTGCCCTGGAGGTAACAGCAGCAGTAGCAACAGCAGCCCAGCGGAAAGGGAGACATGCGAGAAAGAAACGGGAGGAGCAGAGGGGGGCAAACCGGGCACGAACTGGACCGTAAACCGGCCAAGACACCGTTGAGGACGCAGACATGTTGGGGGGGAAACGCACTCGTTTAAACTAACCTGTTCGGGAGCAGCGCGGTCCGCTTGGTATTTGGGTTCGACTCCGAGTTAAAATCCACTACCAGTAAAACAAAGAGGCGAAAATGACCGAGCGGCCGCGGAACAGGCCGAAACAGCACTCCTGGAGCAGTGCAACGCATGCGCAACGTGGAGCCCCCGGAGCTGAAGGGAGGGAGGGAAGAAAGGGGGAATGAGGGAAAGGATGAAGGTGAACGAGTGCAACATTTTTTTTTTTTTAAATATCGATCCACATTATGAGTGTGTCATTCATTATTAACAAGGAGGAAAAGAAAGAGTCCATCATTGTTGATATTAATGTGATTATTATCAGACAATTAGACAAACTTCTGACTGCTTTTTACATAACCTACATTAGCTATGATAGTAATAGCTATAAATAGTTATTTATACAGAAGGCGATTAAACAGACAAAACACTTTAATGTAAGGTAAATTTATTTATTCGGCAAAGAATACAAATTAAAGAATATCTGTCTGTTTATATAGTTTAAGTCAGCACATAGACCATAAATAAGAACACTAATGTTTGTAGTACCCTGAGAGTGTGGGGTTTTTTTTATCATCTATGTGATAACATTAATACTGTAAAGTATTTCATGATCTTATATCAATTATTCTAGTTATTTTTTAATTGAACTATATGTGAAATTTGGATTATTATGGATATCAAAGCAATTTCTGGAGAAAAGTGAGTCTTGCATTCTGCTTCATTATCTTTTTTTCTGCCGATTATGTTTCAAATTTACAAAGGATCATTAAATAAGATGAAGCAAGGGTGGGTTGTTACTAAAATATTTTGGTTCATATTGGTTAATAAAGCAAGGGTGGGTTATTACTAAAATATTTTGGTTCATATTGGTGTCTTGCTCTGACATTTTCCCTCAGATTATGTTCCAAATTTTCAAAGTACCTGTTCCATTAAAGGTGGAATAAAGCAACAGGCAGATATTACAAAAAATTGATTCCAATAGGCTCATGAATGCAAAATCTACTTTAATTACTTCTGTGACTTTGATTTTGCAACTGACTATAATTCTATGTGGTCTTTAATGCTGACTCATCATCTGTGATAACTGACTATAATTTTGTGTTGTCTTTAATACTGACTCATCATCTGTGATAGGTCCAAGATTGAGACACAGCATTTTTTCTCTCACTTCTGTCACTGTTGTTATTGGGTGACAGCAGGGGAACAATGGTCAGCATTTCTTTACGAGTTTGAAATTTGATGGGCCAAAAACCAAACTGTATTTGTGGTAAATTCTATAAGTCACAGATTATATCTGCAAATTAACTGATTCTAAAAATATAAATTTGTAGGCCCACAAAACACACGCACATATGTTATATATATAACAAAAATCATAGGAGGTTGCTGTGCTTATAGCCAACAATTAGTCTGAGGAACGGGGGTACACTCAGGGTTAAGACCAAGCTATTTTTAGACCCCCTGGGTTCCACAATTTGGGTGGGGAAAGGGGAGGAAGGGAACCAGTGATGTAGTGTCCTGAGGAGTGTTTTCATTTTTCTTGGGATGCTGTAGTTATTCAACTGGTTTAACAATTGCTGCCTTCAAGAAATAGGAACATTGTGAAATAACATTCAACAAGGAAATATATTTTTTAATATAGCAGTTGGTTAATGCATTAATATATTAATGTACATAATCGTGAGTGTAAATAATTATAAGAATATAAAGTGAAACCCATTTTTCCTGACTATTAATACAGTTACATAACAATAATAATAATAATAATAATCGGTTTTATCTAATTAGATTGTAACAAGTAAAGGCTCATTTTAAAAAAACACTAAGAAGGATTAGAAGGCAAATGAGTAATGTGTATTGAACATGGAATGTTCTCTACACCCTGTGCTAAAGGGTTAAATAAAGAGGGAAGTGAGCTGTTAGAAATGTCAACAATCAAGTAAAGACTTCCCACTCTGGAAGAAAATGCTCAAGAATTAATCAGTGGCTGCTTTATAACCCTTATGAACATCTATCCTTATTCCATTGATTGTGAAAAAAGTTGTTAAATAATTCAATGGGTCCTTTTGTGTATTTAATTTAACACTTTTGTGTCTGTTTTAAGGAATACAGTAAAGCAGACATGTAATAAACAGCAGCTCTTGTTCTTCCTTCCCTCATCTTTTCTTCCCCTATTCTGTCTCCTTTTGTTTTTGTTTTGTTTTGTTTTGTTTTTTCATTTTCTCTCTTTGCTGAGGGAGACAACAACACCGAGTCTAAATCTGCTAGAGATTTCTTTCTGGAGTTTTTCTCGCCAACTCTGACATGTTTAGTGTGTTCAGTGTGTAACTGTAACTATCCTGGTTTCTTCTGTATTGTTTATTTAAACTCATAATAGACAATGACTGTTTAGACCTCCATTCCCCTCTGTTTAATGTTTTTAGGAGGATATTTTAAGTTTAATTTTAAAGTTGATTTAAAATTTAAAAAATAAAAGGTCCAATTGTGAATCTGGGCTTTACAAATAAAACTGACTTGACATGTGTATGTGGCCATTTATTAATTAATGTATGTATTGCTATTTTATTTATTTATGGCCTCGGTTTTGCATAATCCCCTGTTCATAGTTTCAGCTGTTTAAACGAGTGTTTTCGTTGTAAGACGTTGAGGCTTTGTCGGTTGTTTTTCCGGGGTGGGTCTTTGACCGAGTGGTTCATCCTCTCTCTTGAAGATCTCTGTTACAGTAAGACAGTACAAGGACTCTCGCCCACAGAGCTGATTGTCCGTGCGATGTCTGGGAAACATACTGGCTAACGTTTATGACAGAAATGTTTTTAAGCAAACAGGAAATATTACTTTTCAAGGGACAGTGCTTTAGCCTTTAACTCCATGATGCTGATATTGTAAAGTTTGATGGTGTTTGTACTGTCCACCGCAGTTTATCAACAAACCCTGTCAGATACAAAACAAATGGATAATGGCGGTGCAGCCTCCCACTCTTCTCCTGTCTCCTCTTCCCTGATTCAGACGGTTTCAGCTGCTGTTTCCCCTTGCCCGGTGCTGAGGAAACTTTTGACTTTTAAAGTTTACAAGAGGCGCTGGTTTGTGCTCCTGCTGCTGTCTTTGTTGAACTGCTCCAATTCAACGGTGAGGAAATCGCTTAACGTAACATTTCATTAAGTTACACTTCGTAATATCGTTTATTGACATCATGCAATATGGTAGAATATACTACCTGAACACCTGAGATGTGCATAAATTGTGATTTATTTAGGGTCAGGGCTAAACCATTACAGCTTTATCATAGTGCTTTTTTAGATAAACACTAGGCGTGGATGTCAGTGTTGTATCACAGCAAGTAAATGAAATCTTATGGGTTGTCAGATACTTTATCGTTCAAGTATCGAGACACTTGAGCCTTGAATTGGCAGCTGACGACGTGTTAGCGTCATGCTCGGAGTCAGCAAAAGTCAATTAGTACGTGTAGTGCTATTTAATAGCGAACAACACTATATTGAAAAATAAAAAGTATTATTTAAGATTTGGTGAACATATGCATAGGCAATCTAGTTGGACTGTTTACATGACTTGTCAGCTAGCTGCGGTGGCACTATCTCCTTTTACTAATGGGTCAGGTTTGAATCCCAGAGCTACATTTTAAGCAGTCCCCTGCTGATGTGCAAAGGAATTACTTCAGCCAGCCTTACTCATACAGTGCTTTAACCCGTAAGGGTTAAACCATCTATTCCGATAAGTGTCATATACGTCAGTCAGGAATGTACTGCTACATCAAAGATAACATAATTAATCTCCAATACATTGGAATAGTTAAATTCCTACAATCCATTCTTAAACCAGTTAGCTTTTGTTTTTATGTAATATTTTAATTTCATATTTCGTTGGCCACATTGGTGTCATCCATTGCATAACTGTTTGCTCAGTTAAATAGTGTCATGTGAGATTAGAAAAATGCAGCAAAAAACAGAACTGAGTTCTCACATCAGATGAGCAAAGAAACTATCACTTCCTCTTTATTCAGTCCTTCCTGAATGAGTTCACTAAGTTTATATTTTTATTGACATTTTTAAATGCTAGTTATTATCCCAACAATCGTTTTAGTGTGATTAGTGTAATTTGCTTGCTATTGTAAATGTCATTATTAGCATTATTTTAATATAGCACACACACGGTTTCTCAAGTTTCACATCTGTAAACTCAGAAATTTTGAAAGATTATCAGATATATTTTTGTCCATGTCTCCATAACAAAACTTATGTGGTTTTTGCAGTTATGGCTTACTTTTGCACCAGTTGCAGACCAGTCTGCCCAATACCTGGCTGTTACTCTGGAAAAAATCAACTGGCTGTCACTGATCTACATGGTCATTAGTATACCAATCGCCTTTGTGTCCTCATGGATGCTGGATACCTTTGGACTACGGATTATGGTACAAAGTGAATTCGGAGTTGTTAACTCCACTGCTGAGTTTTTTTGTATCTGTAGTCTACAACTCTTTCTGAAAAAAAAAACAGAAACATATTGACACAGTGGGCAATATCTTTTCACCCCACTATTAAATGTTACAGGTAATCCTTGGTTCATGGCTGAACATGTCAGGAGCTGTACTTCGTGTCCTGGCCACAGTGCCTGGTGTCGACATAAGTTATCAGTACATCATAGTGATGGGCGGTCAGGTGCTCTGCGCTTCCGCTCAGCCCCTCATCATTTTTGTCCCCACCAAGCTTGCAGCCGTCTGGTTCCCTGACCACCAGAGGGCCACAGCCAACATGATGGCCAGCATGTGTGAGTGAAGTCCTCTATATGTGTTTTGACAAATTGTGATTTCTACTATTACTTTGCAAAGCATTATATTTGTAGTATTGATAGTATCAACTTGATTTTCAGCTGTAAAATGTATGAATTAAAAGTAGAAACCTTCTGACTTTCAGCACTTCATACATTCCTGAGACTCAGGAGTAGTTTAGTATGTGTCCTGGTTAATGGGTTAACCCTGGTTAATGGGTTAACCCTGGTTAATGGGTTAAAATGCATAAGCAGGAATTTTTAGCATCAATTTCTAGGATTAAAATGTCTGGAAATTTAAGAAATTAAAATGACTTATTTAACCTGCCAACCATATTTCCATTTGATTCCAGTTCCACCCTTTTATATTCAGCCTGTGGAATTGCTTTATGTGCAGAGTACTTAAAAATGATCAGCAGTTAATCTTATTTTATTGTACTTGATATCACACATCATGTTTTTTTCTTCTCCTGCTTTTCTCAGCTAATCCTCTGGGAATTGTGTTGGCTAACGTCATCTCTCCTAATATAGTTTCCACTCCTGCTAAGATCCCACTCTTGGTGAGTGCAACTAAGAATATCTCATCGTCACTGTCTCTCATACAATGCCAAAGAATCAACGCTCTTCAAGCCTTAGGAGTTTAGGAGTTCTGAAAAATAAACCTGAAACCACTGTGGTGATGGTGGGGGGAGTGAAAGTATCAGCAGGTTTTTTCAGTAACACCAGTTTCAGTGTTGAAACCATTGTTGAATCTGCAGCACATTTCATCGTCTACTGTTAAATGGATTTAAATTCACACGTTTTCTCAAATTTCTTTTTTTACAATCCTTTAGATGCTTGTCTATGCAATCCCTGCATGCATCATCTGTTTATTGTCAACTGTAGGGATTCGGAGCAGCACTCCACCTACTCCACCATCAGCCAGTGCTTTGACCTCCAACTCAGAACAGTTTTTCCGGGGCGTTAAACTGGTAAGGAAACACACACAGAAATAGCTGTTTATTGCTTAAATTGATTGTGGGCAATCACCAAAATGTTTAATCACATTAATTGCATAATTAAATTGTCATTAATCCCATGGTTGTTCTACAATCTATTGCATTATATGCAAAATGAAATTAATTCTAAAGTATATATTGCGCACATTATTCAGTTTACCTGTGCAAACATGCAATAACAATATTCTCAACTTCATCAGAATCAAAATATAAAATTGATTTTAAACATAAATACATAAATTTAACAAAAAACACAAAGACGTTCCTCTGCCCTGAATACACTGATGTGTATTTATTGATCGAGTAGATGGAGAATTTGTTCAGTCTCATTTAACCAGCATATGTGTTTCAGCTGTGCTATTGCTGTAAAACCTTTCTCTCTAGCTGTCTGTGTTAACCATGCAGAAAGTTATTTTTTACAGTTTATTTTTACATTTTTTTCTCAGTGTTTAAAGTGATAACAGCGCGAGTTTGAAGAATTTCTGCTTAATGCAGAAAATGTTGAAATATTCTTTAGTTAATGAGAAGAAATTAAAACTGGATGTAGGTATTGTCCTGCTTTTTGTCCTAACTGTGGTTTGGATGGAGCTAACACCTACCCACACCAGAGCTGTGCCACATTTATGACACTGCCTTCCAGTTCATCGCATATTTACTGAACCTCAACATAAAGAAAAATAATGATAAGGACTTAGCAACACCAAGTATTCAAATGAGTTTGTAAAAAATGATATGGGGCCAACCCCAGGGATATTGTCAGTTTTAGGCAGCAACATTTGCCCTCTATGTTAACAGTGAAGGTCTGTTTTCGGTGGAAGTGACAGTGGTTTACATTTCTAAACACAAATGTCCATGTTTGTCTGTAGTTGCTGAAGAGCAAATCCTACCTCATCCTGATGGCGTGCGCCGGCTCAAACGTCGCCATTTTCACCTGCTGGTCCTCGTTTATGCAGCAAATCCTCTGTGTTCAGGGATACACAAACGTAAGCACCAACATCAACCTTTTGGAAATGTTTCTAATGCAGAAAATTGTTGCTCTAGATAACTGTAGTTTAATTTTATACAGTGTGACACCTGATCAAGAACAAATATTAAGAGTTTGAATCAGGGCAGAGACAAAACTCAAGTCATAAGTCCTGGAAAACCCAGTTTGTCCCAGATTGGAATCAATACCTTGGGCTTCTACAAAACTACATTTTTGTGAAAACAAGTCTTGTGTCTCCCTTTAGTCGTTTACAGGTATATGTTCCGCTCTAATCGTTGTGTTTGGCGTTATTGGTGCTGGTCTGTTTGGCGTCTACACGGACAAAACCAAGAAGTTTATTGATGTCCTGAAGATCAACCTGAGCATCACTTCTCTGATGTGCATCGCAGCTTCAGTGGTGAGGAAAATGAGGCATATGAGGATTTTACTTCTCAATGCTGTGTTCGCCGATGGTTTATTTGTTAAAATGTTTTTTTGCTAATAATGTCTGTTTCTCAGGTGACACTACTGCCTCAGCAGCCCATAGCTGTAGCTGCAGTTTTCTCTCTCCTCGGCTTTTTTGGCTTCTCCTGCTACCCTGTGATCTTAGAGCTTTCTGTGGAGTGTTCTTATCCTATTGGAGAAGCTTTGACAACAGGGCTCATTTTTGTAACGGGGTAAGAGAGAACACATCAAACAAAGGTGTTGCCTATGCTATAATGCATACCAAGGCCTTCTAAACACCATTAGCTTCTGGCCAGGGATCCCCTTTGCAAACCCATGGACAAAGCTACAAAAATAAGAAAAGAAACATCAACTTTTAAAATGTATTTTCTTACTTTAATTAACAACTATACACTTATTTAGCAGAAGAAACATGCGCTAGCTAGCTATACTCTAGCCGAGCAGCTTGATAACAAACACAAACCTACAGGTTTATACATATTAAAACGTTGCCATGCCAAAGTTGCAGCTGTCACACACGGTGCATTCAGGTACCACGGGAAACTTGGGACTCTGACTATTACAGCAGTTTGAAAAACACTTTGAAAACCACTGCAATACAGTTATTTTTCACACACAGGACTAAGATTATGAACATCATCAATGATAACTCTTTTAGTATTACTGTTACCTTGGTGGTTTCTGGTCACAGTGCTTTTTGTTATATTCCAGTCATTGCCCATCATTCCCTTTTGCACATTCTGTAGACAGATCCTGTCTGCCCTGTACATCGTGCTTCTTCAGGCTTTTAGCAAACGGTTGGCAGAGTCCCCTGTGTCTAGTTGCCGTGATGTCACTATGAGCTGGAAAGGTATGTCACATGCTGTCATAGCAATGTTTTTTATTGATATTATCCCAATTATTTTTTTAAATGGACAATGAAACAGGATGTATGTTAACTATTGTTTATTTGCTCTATAAGGGGAAAAGTGACAAAAATGTAAAACAGAAAATATACTTTTGGATCTAATTCTAAATCCCATCACATGAAACTTCATTTGATGGGATTTAGAATTAGATTTGAATTTAAATGTATTTTTTAAAAAATCCTTTCATTAAAATCTTTTTAAAATAAATTACATTTAAATTTTTTTTATTTTTGTATTCTCACTTTTTAGTTTCCAACATGGTCTTGGCAGGACTACACACTCTGGTGTGCTGCATCTTTGTCCTCTTCTTTCACACGAGATACCACAGACTGGAGGCAGAGGAAAGAGCCATGTTGCAAAACCAAGCAACGGCTTAGTGACCGCAGACAACGTCCAGAACAATGAGGGACAACCGTTGAATGAAATTGTCATTCAAAGGCAAACTGAGGTTGTTCCGTAACACAGGTACAAAGGGTTTCAGTGCTAACAGGTTCAAAATTATGTTTCATTATTATTAAATGTTTGAATGTTTGTGTAACATGTGAGTCTTTCCTTGACACAGATGACAGTTTAACAGTCTTTATATGGTATTCAGCTGTCTCTGCGTGGATGTGGATGGACAGTTGAATTAAATAAATATACAGTTTATGTCATTCTGCCTTCTGTGTTAAAATTATTTTGTTTTAAAAATGTTATGTTTTAAAGTTCACAAATGAAAATGACAAGTTTTAATCTTGTTTAGAAAGATCAGATTGTCCATCATTAATATTAACAAGCTGCTGTTGTGCTGCTTATTCTTCTTTGAGTCAAATGTGTGTTTTCTCACTTAAACCATAATGTAAACTTTTCAAGATTTATTTATTGGTTTTATACCTTTATATATGGTATAATGATACTTTTGTTTCTGCTTTATACGACACAATGTCCAAACATTCTGAAGGTCAAAGTCATGGTCTTTGAAAGCTGTGATTGGTCATATCTGGGAGATCAATTGATAATAACAAAGATGTTGGTAAAACAGAGAACTCAAGCTGTAGCTCAACACCAGAGGTGAGATTATGCATGTGGAATATAAATGATCTTTTCAATTTTGTTCTGTGGAAAACTAGCCAGTATTTAAAAGAATGTGCTTTATAAAAAGGTCAAATGCATGGTGAGTGTACATTCTTTCTTCAGGCTGAGCTTTATTTTTGTGTTTTTTCTTTATTAAAAAGTTATTTGAAATCTGCTAATTATTTGATGTTATTCACACCATAAATGTTTCCCATTGTTTTGTGTGACTGTGCAAACAAAACCTGTTTAGACGCAACAACTAGTACAGACTCTTGGTTTAAAAAAGTATCTGTTTATTTTCTGGATTTGTGTGATTTCAACTCGTCAGGTAGTTATTTTTTCTGTATAGTCCTCATCTTTAGAAACAGACAACCCAAGCAGACGTTTGTGGCTGCACTAAAGAAAGACTGATGGAATCATTTCCCAGCTGTAAACCCACTGAAAACATAAAAAAAAAAAAAAATCGAATTCTCTAATTTAGAATTTGATTCTCCAGCCTAGTCTGTATCAGACAGTTTATATCATTTTAAAAAGAAATGGGCAAACAGAGTGAAAAACTGGCTAAAAAATAAACATAAGGGGTAAGAAAAAAAACAAAACAAAACAAACAGTGACTCCTGCACAATGGACATTTTCACCCATGCACACACACTACAATGAGTAGAATCCTCAATGCCAGAGCTGGTGGTTCCTAATGTTTGTGTTTTTAGCAGGTGAGACACTCGTCGTCCTCTCATCAGTGCAGGTCTCAGAGCTGCAGAGCACAGAACTGTTGGTACACAGCCAGGATGTGATGGTCCAGCTCTGCGGTGAACAGCAGATTCTCTAAAGTTCCCATGTACTGCTGGATGGTCACGTGGTGCTGAATGAAAAAGAAAATCTTCCTTTTATAATGTTACGTTTGTGTTCTAAAAGTTCCTAACATAAATGCAGGAATTGTAAGTGTGTGAGGGCGTTGTTATACTTTCAGGGACAGGGTTTTGAAAAAAAGACTGTTTGGGAGGGGACATGTGACCTTGAGAGGACATCCAGCAGGTCCCCACCAAGTAGGAGGGTCTTTTAAGGTTCAGGATTAAGTTAAAGATTTAAGGATTAGAATTGGCATCAGATAAGAATAAGGCTTGTGTTTGTAATAGTTCAAGGAAGAGGTAAAGTAAGGTGCTAGGAAATGCACAGTGCTCATAAAACACACACACACAAAAATCAAATCAGTGAGTTTGTATGTATGCATGTTTTACCATGAGGAAGATCTGCTGCAGTCGATCCACACAATTCTTATACCAGGGTGTGCTTATATCTACGCTGCCCGTCTCACAGCGAACCAGATGCTCCGTCAACAACATAATGAAGCGCTGAAAGTGGTGAAGAAATAAAAAAAAAAAACAATATATATATATATATATTATACATAAATTTAAGGAAGTTTATATATTAAAAAAATATATAAAAGGGGGGCATGTTTAGGCCATAGTATCTTAATGGCCACATGTACAAGGTCAAAGGTCGAAAAATGTTTAGGCCATAGTATCTTAATGGCCACATGTACAAGGTCAAAGGTCGAAAAATGTTTAGGCCATAGTATCTTAATGGCCACATGTACAAGGTCAAAGGTCGAAAATTAGTTGTTTTCTTGACTAATTTTGACAGAAGTAGGAAATTAGGACTTTGGTCCTGAGATAAACTGGAGAATTTTCCTTTTAGCCCTATGATAAAGATAAAATATTACACAAAGTAAGTAAAGTTAATGAAGTCATTCAAAACAAAAACTGAAGAGTAAAACAGCAAAAATGGTCGTCAGGTAAATGGGGTATATATTGTTCTTGGTTTTTTGTGTAATCTATAAATAGCAGAAGGAAGAACTGATAGTATAAGGGGAGAAAAGGTTCTCTACCTGGAAAATGACAAGGAAAAGATTCTTCTGTTCACTCTGGGCAGACTCCACCTTCTCCTGGAGCCTCTCGATTTGCTCCTCAAGCTGACCATCCTCGTCCTCGCTGTTCTTGTCCATGTCCTCGTCATCGCCACTGTCCCTCTGCAGATGCACAAGCACCCAGAATAAATGAATTCATATTCACTGGGTCAACCTATTGTCATGCAGTTGGGTTTTTAATTCAGAGTGAAGCAACTGTGTGGGATGGTTTTACCCTCTTAAGTTGCTGTTTCTCCAGCTTGTCCTTCGCCTCCTCCAGCTCCTTCTGGATCTTCTGGACATGTTTGTTCATCTTTCTGATGGTCGAGTGTAGAATCTCCCAGATGTACAGTCTACACCAGGATCAAACACAGACCATGGTTTATTCATAAACTTCCACAAAGGAGCTGGAAAACTAAGAACAAATCTTTGACCTCACGGGTTTATTTGACAAAGAGTTCAAATAAACAAATTAAACTGGGCAGCAAAATCTTTCATTAAAAATCTGTGCATGAATCTTGAATGAAGCAACCAAAAATAAATAAATAAAAAATAAACACAGCCAGTTCCACTGTTTACATTTGTGTGGAATTACAGGAGCCTTCCACTAAAATTTTAATTTTTAAATTGCCATTATTTTTTTGTATCCAAAATGTATAAAACTAACCTCATGTTTTATGAAAAAAGAAAATGAGAATGAATGATTGACACCATTCATTTTGAAGTTTAGCAATAAGCAGAGACCAGTAGGTGCACAAAAATAAAGTTAAAAAGTTGCCATTATTTATCCTAATTATACACAAATTATCCAAGCTTTGTCTATATATATATAATACTAATTATACATAGACAAAGTTTATTCAAACTCTTCTACTTTATTTAAATATATCCATTCATTTGAAGGTTTTGATGCTGGTTTTGATGCTGGTATTTAACAGAGACTCATCCAGAAAACAACTAAATAAGCAAAACCCAAAGGTGAGACAATGACAACATTTTGACCTTCAGATGCTTAAACAAACCACAGTCAGGGGCTGTGAACTCCATCTCACCTGGTGAACTCATGCGCCATGTCCTGAGAGAAGAGCCAGTTGGCGACGGCGGCGCAGTCCACGATCTGTGTTCGAATCATTTTGTCCACCAACACAGCAATCATCTGGAAGAACCGACACAACTCTGTTTAAACTCACTGTGACACTGACTCGAACTTTTGGTTTCTCCAACAGAATGATGTAGAAAGTGACCTGCGGGTGATTCCTCCACACTTCATAAATCACTTTAAGCGTGTGAAGCTTCCCCTCGTCACTGTCGGCCAATGTCTTTAAAATCTCATGAAACCTGCGGGGATTGGTATTGATTCACTCAATTAATAGGATTACTCAAACAATATTACTTGTCTTGGGAAAATATTGAACTTTCTGGTGACAATGTGTTCCCTAAAAACACCAGAAAATATAATCTGCAGTAAAAGGAACTTACTTGGCCAGGGCACTAAAGGAGTGGCTGAAGGATTTGGCGGCAAGGTGAAGGAGAGTCTGGAGGAAGACGTCGATCTTCAGAGGGTTGAAGCTTTCGCCTTCATCTGACAAAAAAAAAAAACAGAGAATGAGGAGAGTGTACTAAAGTTTACGCCAGTTATTTTAACAGTAATGCTAGTGAAAATATGTCATGCACATAAACAGATAATACTTTGAGCCGTGGCCGCCACCACCACTTAATTGTTGCCATCACTGCTTCTGAAATGGGGCCAACACACAGCTTTTAAGTTTAACATAAGATGAGGTTTAAATCCCTAAATCATTCTCCCCTGAAATCTGCATCATTCTGGTAAATGAGTTGTCATGGAGCACAGCATCTTCTTCTGTATGGGAAATAAAATGAATCAACTCACATTTATAAAAGGATCACGGACATGGATAATTTCATGAAATGCGACGTATATAAAATGAGCTCGGTTGAACAGCAGCTTTACAATTTCCAAAATAAAACCAACTTCAGCGTCCCACAGTGGCTGGTCATTATTTTATTTTAGTCATCCATGTGGATCGACACTCAACACTTATGTGTGAATGCATGTATCCTGGTTAGGTAAATTTCTCTTATTAACTCAAACAGGTGAGAAAAAAAGAGAGGCAGAGACAGCAGAGGTGAGGCAACAGCGGGGGAGGGGAGGCTGGAGATTACCTGCCGTCTCTGCTCAAAATAATCCTAGTGGAGAGACTACTTTCTAAAGTAAATACAGAGTCAGGTGTAAAGTGGTGTAAAGTTTTCCCCCCAGAGGTAAATGTTGGTGAATACTGAATTAAAAGTCTTAGAGTCTGGAGCTACAAATGGGACACTGACCATCATCATCCTCCTGGTTGGGGTTGGGAACTTCTTTAAGGATGGTTAGAATCTCCTCGTTTGTCGCTCGGTTCTTGATGGCATTTCCCAAAGTGATGGATAATTGATAACCTGGTAATGTTGCTGTGGAGCAGAAGAGACTTCATTTGTTACAAATGACGTTATGTCACTAGTATTTGATCTTTTTTAAGTGAATGTACCCCACAATATTATTGCAAAGAACATTCTTACATGCAGTCTCATCTAGGTATTTATAGATAAAGATGGGTTCGGCAGGAATGAGCACCGAGAAGGTCGGAGGGACAATGTCCACGATCCTCTGATGGTAGGAAAGTCTGCAGAGTCAAAAATAAGAACATACATTGAATCTGATAGGAAACATTTTTATAGACGTGACTTGAAAGAAGTCATCAACCAGCTCACACCTCATACTCTTTTCCAGAACTTCCTTCACAAACTTGGGCTTGGGTTTCTCTAGATCCACTGTTAAGCAGTCAGCCCTAAAACCAACACAATCAGGTCAGACTTTCAAACCAAATCAAACCTGAGGTTTAAATCAAGTCTTATAGACTCACTCACCAGTCATCCCAGCTCCATCTGAATTGGAAGTTGCTCAAATGGTGAGAAAACCAGTTAATAAGTCTGGAATATGGGAAAAAAAGAAGGAAATGTTGATGGAAGTTATTTCTCAAACAGTAAATATACAGAATAGGTTTTCCATACCTGTCAATGCAGGTCGTGTTCATAGTGTCCAGTCTCATGTAAAGCATCTCTGTAGCTTGAGCCAACTGACCAATGGGTGTTAAGATAAATTCCCTTTGTACTTTTTAAATGTAAACCAGTACATGGTTATTTTTGACCTATTCCTGATTTTGGAGAAGAAGTGCTAAAATTTATATTCCTCTGATAGAAATCAACCAATTTCATTTAAAAATAAAGACAAACAGACTAAGAGGTTTTCAATGGATCTCCAATGGAGGCATTTAAATAAAAGGTTTTTACATTTTTGTAACAAGTAATCGATTTAGGAGTCCATGAAATTGGGCAATCACGGAAAAAAAAAAGTTGTCTAAAAGACAGGAATAAACAAGGATACAACTTGAGGCAAAGAGCCTGGCTGCAGTTTGCAGAGTTCAATAAGCAGTGTCGTGTACAAGACGTCAATGTGCGGAGGGGTTGGCAGCTGGAAAAGTTCTCCAAAAATCACCTAGGAAAAAAAAAACCAATGTATTGAAACATTTCCCCCAAAATCGCCGCACTTAATCTTTAAAAACCAGTTTACCTCCACGATGTGATAGTTGAGTGGAATCTTATTTTTCCCAGGATAACTGAGTAACTGTGCAGCACTGAGAGATGAATGAGGAAAATTTGAACAGTTAGAATATTTCAGGCTGGGTTATATTAATTTCAAGAGATGTGACAAAAAACATGTTCACCATGTTTTTCTTTCTTTCCAGTGGGTCTTGATGATACAGTGCAGGTTCTCTTCAATGACAAACCTCTCCACTGAGTGGCTGCCAGGCATAACTGGACCCTGGGAGTAACAAACAAAGCAATATATAAACTGTGACAGAGAACAAAATGAATCTTCACCAGATTTAAATTTTAACCTGTGTACATTTTAATGCACAGAGCAAATGGGTGCTCAGATTAAAAAAGAGGTTTTAAAAAAACTTTTCTAGGTTTTGTTGGTGAGTTTAAACTTTTTTAAACTTTTAGAGCTAGCTGCAGCGATCAGCTCTTCCTACAAATAAACATTGTTTAATTCTAACTGTGTTCATTTACTCATGCAGATCTAATTAACTAATAATCTAGAAAAAGGGACTTTATTTTGCTGGTTGTACCTCTGGGGCATCGGTGTAGTCAAACATGCGGAACACGACTCGGGGCATTGGGTACTGGGCGTCCGGCATGTGGCCAGGTGGAGTAAAGGGTGGCAGATTGTGCTGCAGGGCTTCACACAGGACGCTGTCGAAGGCGATGTATGGACGAAGGATGTGACGCTCCTGCCAGCGGTCTTTCTTTAGCTTCTGGATCTGAGCCCAAAGACAATCTAGGTACTAAGGAGGATGAAGAGAGAAAGAGGGTTTCAACAATCAACCTTTAGCTGCAATGAAGAAATAAAAGCATTTAGCAGAGGGGGCTGTCTCCTTGTAAACTCTAGAATTCTGTTTGGATAACAATGAGTAAACATTTCCCCAACATTTACTGCCAAGGTAGAATGATGGGAAACCTGCTGTTTCTTACTTCTTCCTGGGGGTGTGGCTTCTCTGCAGTCCACACCTGGAGCATTTGGACATGAGTTTTTACTCTCCTCCTAAAAATAAATATGAAAATAAGAAAGCGAAGTGGGGAGGCAGTCAGCTGACAGGTGTGAACATAAATTTAGGAAAATTAAATTGAGAGTAAAAGAGAAGAAAACACTGTGCCCCGAAAGAGACAGACACATGGATGGAAATATAACACATACTTGAGGTAGCCTTCAATCTGGCTGAGGAGTCGGTCCATCTCAACATCCTTCTTTTCATACAACTCTTTGCCCACCCAGGGCAGACAGGACAGAACCACATACACAAACCAGTCTGACCGAACCTAAGAACACAAATAGACACACAAGAAAGATTTACTGATTAGTCATATTTCCTTTTTACATATTACTTTAGTAGACCTTAAATGACCTTTTTTCATATTCCAAATCAAAGTTAAGTCCAGCGCAGCTTTTGTTTTTTTTCATCAACCACTTAAACTTCCTCCTTACCTGAGGTACGTCTTCTTCTTGAGTAACACTGACAAAGTTTTCAAACATAGCCACCATAGAAGGAGCAGCGATCACGTGACAGTTGACCAGGTCAGAAAGGAAACGCACCTAAAGATGAAAACAGAAGCTGAGATTAAGAAACCCAATCAATGCACATACAGTACAAGCTGTAATGTAAGTTGAGGTTCATTTACCAAGTAAACAGCTTCATTGTACAAGTTGTTCTTCAACGTCTCCTTGAGCTGCCTAATCATGGCCTCCACAAACTCGCCTCCAAAGTTGTAGTTTCTGGCATTGAGAAGACCGACTAACGTTGTGTAGACGGTCAGTTTCTCGGGGAGGAGACGGGCACTGGTGAGACAAGTCAATTTAAAGAATTACCACCTTAAAAGACTCATCTATAAAACAACATTGGGTTTATAAACTACTGAAACTTACACAGCACATAATATGCGCAAAATTTTGTTTTTGTAATTTGGAAGATCAGCCTCCAAGACACCTGCAAGGCCCTCTAGGTTGCTCTCCAGGGATGATGTACTCTGTATAAACAAACACAACAATGTTTGTTCACAAATCAATTTTCTATTTAGTCGTAACTTCTTTATGCAAAACCATAAGTAGTGTGGAGTGATGTCCTAAACACCTGACTCACTTTGTGCAAAACCTGAGGTTTAAATCCCAGCAAAAGGCTACACTATTGAAAACATAAAACTTCACCCAAACAACTCCCTTTCCAGATGTTGTACCTTCTCCCCGACACGACATATCAGAGACTCCAGACGGTCTTCAATCTCAATGGGCTCTGATGTTCTTCTTCTTTTATGGGCCTGGCCTCCTGAAAGAGAGAAAATATACATTTGAATCACAGAAGAAAGAAAAATGAGGGATGTCAGTCATAGATGATTCTGCCTGAGATTAAATGTATGCATCCAAGAAAAAATTGAACACGGTTGTTTCTATATTAGGGTCTTCATTAATCCGGATCCTCGGGATGGCTACTGCTAATTCAACAAAGGAAGTTAGCAGAATCAATGGGAAAAGTGCAGCCTTGAATGACATACTGAATACTTGAATTCACTCTAGTCAGTGCATCAACATATTAAATATTCCCAAAAAACAAACAAACAAAAACAAGTGGGCAAACAAACTAGGGTAGGTTATGTAGCTATATTTATCAACATGGCTTGATAATGGTGTTTCTTTATTGATAAATAAATTTGTTTATGTTTTGCACATTTTAAAGTAAACTAAAAGTAAACCTACAACATCAAAACTGCGTAAGACATACAATTTCCTTTTTATTATTTGAGTTGCATTACAAACAAATGTCTGTAACCTAAAAATGTGTACTGATACTTATCATTGTTGAACCTACAGAAACATTTAGGTTTTTCTATACAATCTGCACAGTAGAATAGGAGCAAGGACAGAAGAATATCAATAGAAGTAATTCATCTTTGGAGAAAAAAGGGTTTACAAGACTGTAGTGAGAGTTGGTGTGATGTATGATAAGATAAAAAGAGACTGTCTGGAAAAGCAGGTGACAAAGCGGAAGATACTGAAATTTCAACTGGCAAGGAAGAAGGCAGTGGGAATAAGAAATGATAACATCAGAGGTGAACGAGTCAGAATACATTAGAGACTACAAAAGACTGTTCAGAGGAAGTACATAAATCTTGGTTTATAGCCATACATGCGGAGGTGAACTGAGTGAGATGGATGCAGATGATCTGCAGTATTTAATGGCGCTGCCAATAATAGTATCCGTTACACCTTACCGTTGTTCTTTTGTGTTATTGTACTTTTCTTTTTTATTCAATCGCAATTCAACATAAAAGTTTAAGTTATTTCACGTCAATAATAATAACTTAAAAAAATTTAAACAACCACTGTTTAATAAACTGAAGTTAACGCCCCCAAACGTACTTCGTAGCAGCTAACTGCGTCGGTCGATTTAGTTAATACTAATAGATATGGCCATACACATAAAATGTGGGAAATGGTTAAAATTCTTAAACAACATGGCTTGGAAATTATACCAAGTCACTTAAAACAAAACGGGTTTATAATCAAAAGGATCATGTTGAACTCGCTAACATGAGCTACCCGCACATGCTAACCATTCATGTGTGAATACACATGCAGCGTTTACCGTCATTCTCGTCGCTGTGTCGCCTCCTGGACATGTTTCTCACCAATTTTGAGTGAATGCAAACACGAACGAAAGAAAAAATAAATAAAATCTAACAGGAGGTAAACAATTCGAAGGTTGAAATAGTTTTTACAAGATTGAGCCTGTCCGCTTCCCAGGAAAGAAAAATAAAGCGGTCCAATTCAAGTGAGACACTTCCGAGGTCACCCGGAAATCGCACCCGCTATTTTCTTCCGACTTCCACAGGTCGTGTGAGCGGAATCAGCTGCCACGCGTTTTAATGTATGTTTTTAATCGCTGTAGATTTAATGCTTTTGATGCGTCATTGTAGTTTAAGTATTATGGTCCGTGTTCGGTAGTGCCTCCAGGCAAAACTGTTACATGTAGAGGTAATATGATTATAAGATAAAACGCTTGTCTTTTTAAAACGTAGACAAATAGTTTTGAAAACATGTTCTTTTATTAAACTGAAAATATTTTTAAATGACTTCGGGAAGCATGAACACGACAGAGTTTCTGGACTTGGAGCTTGACACTCAAAATTGTGATGAAGTGAAGCAGGAGAAAACACTTCCTGCTGGTTTGAGAAAATACTACAACTTCTGCAGGAGGAAGGTAACAGACAGTTATTAACAGTATTTTTAAGACTTTAACCTAAAGCAATAAGTCGATGCCCTAGATGCCTTTATATTAACGCATTTTTATGGTATCAAATTACTCTTTCCTTATACTATTACTGTTAGTGGTTGCATATTCCTTCTTTAAGTTAAATTTTAATGTATTATTTGCAGAATCTAGTAAAGATGTTTTCAAAGCCATAACCCATTCCCTAAGCGGCTTGAAGAACCGTTATGGAAATTGTTGGTTAAATAGTTACCAAATATTTGCAAAAGTGATCTTAAACAAGTTGATCCTATCTTAATCAGTAAATCCAGTTCAAGTTTACATCAGAGCTACAACTAATTGGATGTTTTTTGTACCTGCCCTTTTTCTTGTCAGTTTAAATGGCCTTGTTCTTGTTTGTTTTTTAGACTTACCTCTTTGTGGATTTGCCTGCAAAATATTGTGTTGTGGGGAGTAATTATAGAATTATGTCTCCCTGTTATTTTCATACAAGAACAAAGCTTTGTTTACTAATGTGGATTTGCATCATGTTCTTTTTCGCTGCAGTCATTCGCCACCTTTGTGAAATCCAAGAGAGAAAGCAGTCAGAATGAAGGAAGTTCATCTTGGTTCTGCTGCAATCAGATCTTCAAAGAACACACATCCATTCACAAACATGTTGCAAAGTGTCACAATGCTGAAATAAAGCAGTTGACACTTTCTGCATATGAGTGTTTGTTGAATCAACTAGAGAAGGAAGCTGAAAGTATGCAGCCCAAAGAGCAGAAAGCTGATGATGAGGATGTTTCTGCATGGATACCCAACATCAGTCATATCTCTGAGGAGCTGTTGCAAAAGTACTGGCCAACCCCACATTCTACTGCCTGAGTTCATGATATACTTCATATACTACTTCATTTCCACTTGTCAAGTGGAGAGATTTCTTTTGATGTTCTCCTGTTTTTCTTTTGTTTGTTTGTTTGTTTGTTTTTTCAGGGGACCTGGAAAAGTTCTCCTCTACTATCACTACTGTAAAGTGGAAAATCCACATGTCGTCTGGGCTTGGCAGAAAGCTTTGTGCGAAAAACTCCACTTAACTGGCAAGGTGAAAAAAAGGGAACAAAACGATACTTCAACAGAGTAGCTGTCAAAACATACGTTTTTAAAAGGCACCACACCCAACAGTACAGTCAACCTTAGTCAAATGACGTGCAATGTGATTTTAAATAACACATTGGTCTGTGTTATTTAAAAAGAAATGTATCATGGCCATTTCTTTAGGTGAGAGTGGCGACAGAAGGCATCAATGGAACAGTTGGTGGAACAGACATGGCCATTGATGTTTACATCAGTGCAATGTGTTCATTTCCTGTCTTCAAGATGGATAAAGATGATTTTAAGGTACAAGAAAAGAAAAACCTATAATGGAGAGGGTTTGACTTAGACCAGAGGTGTCCAAATCTAAATTTCTGGAAGTTCTGAAATAGAACTGTAAAAATAACCAACCAGTTAAAAATGTGATAAATCATCAATATTATTATGACATTGAGCTGTGTAAAAATGTAATTGCTTGCCTGCGTGTGTTCATGCAGACCAGTGATGGTGGTGCGAAGTGTTTCACAGACCTCAGGGTCGGCGTCTATAAAGAAATAGTTCCAATGGGAGTGAATCCTGAGGTCATCACCTACGAGTCAGCAGGTAACAACAACAATTTAAGATTTTTTTCTCAGCACAACTCACTTTTATTTTTCATTGTTACTGATTTAGGTGAAATATTTTTTCTTACAGGACTTCATCTGGAACCTGAAGAGTTTCACAAAGAGGTTGAAGATTTTTTAACTAAAGGCGATTTATGCAACAACACCGTCCTCCTCGACTGCCGGAACTTCTATGAGAGTAAAATTGTAAGTAAGTTATGGGTTGAAGTTATCGCCATCATCTGATTATTATTTTGAGATCATCAACTATTTTTCTTTCCAGGGGCAATTCACTAATTGCCTGGCTCCGGACATCCGTAAGTTCAGCTACTTCCCTGACTACGTGGACCAAAATCTGGAATTGTTCAGAAACAAAAAAATTCTCATGTACTGCACAGGAGGAATCCGCTGTGAGCGTGCCTCTGCGTATCTTCGCTCAAAGGTAAGGAGAAATTGCTGCACTATATATATATATATATATATATATATATATATATATAAATAAAACACAGTTGTATTAATTGATGTAGTGTATATTGTTAAAAGTGTATTTACTCAGAGTCTTAAACATATCTACATGTCACCATTTGCAGGAAGTATGTAAAGAAGTTTACCAGCTGAAAGGCGGAATCCACAAATACCTGGAACGTTTCCCAGATGGATTTTATCGTGGAAAACTCTTTGTGTTTGATGAACGTTACACCATCTCCTCCAACACTGATGTCATCTCAGGTTAGTGTTTACCTTTTGGGTTTTGTATTATTAAACGATAACTGTACATGAATCTTTCTTTTTTTTCACATTGCATTTGTAGCTTGATGAGTGATACACAACAGCAATAGCACAATGATAGGTTCTCATAAAACATCCTCTTATCTCAAGTCTCTGCGCTTAACAAAGGTTTAAACCAAGCACCATGTGTCTGTTCAGACTGCAGGTACTGTGGTCGGCCCTGGGACCAGTACCAACTCTGTTCAACTCAGTTGTGCTACCAGCTGGTTCTGTCCTGTCCCAGTTGCAGGGAGGATGAACTTACCGCCTGCTGCCCTACCTGCCAAACCAAAGGACAGACCCAGAGTCTGGCCTCTACTGCTCCACACCTCAAAGAAGAGTGCGAGTGCACTGACAGGCGTCCCAGAATCCCTCAGGATGTGTAGAGAGACAGTGATGACTACCTGCATCTGCATGAAAATAAATGCAAATGAGATGTCATTAAGGATGATCATTTTAAATTGTTGGTCTTTGTAATACAAATAATTGTTTTTACAAACCGGAGAAAGCATAACTGTCATGCTAGTGATATCATATTTGCATACTCGTAAAAGTTAAACTGTAGCAGTATTTTGTTGTCCGGTATTTTTGTTTTTACCATTCTGGGTCTGCAAATTTGTCTTTATTCTTTTGAACGTGGAGGGTAGCCAAAATGTACATGTTACTCTCTCTTTTTGAGTTAATTACATAATATATATATAACAGTATTAATAATAACAATAATAAATTATAAAAGTTGCAGTACTGTATCCGTGGGAAAAGTCCACAAGGTGTCGCCAAAGCGTAACAGACGGTCGTCAGTGAATCTCCTCAGCATCATCATCAGTTGCACTGGAAGCTTCGGCATAGGCATCAGAGAGGAGCTAACCGGGCTGCCCGGCTTCTCGTGGACCAGTAGCGGCCCTTAGTACCTTAATCCTGGCCGCAGGGTTGACCAGGTTTGGGACACCAACTTCCATGTCCGTCCTTTTGTTATAATAAGGCCAGCAGGACCCAGCGATGTCTGCTCCGGGTCCCACTAACGTGGGTAGCTCCGTCAGCTACAAACAGAGCTCAGCGGCGAACGGTGGAGGAGCCCCCCGCTGTCAGAACGGTAATAGGCCGGTGATGCGGTTAGCCTGTCCACTGCTCTTAGCATCATAACGCTCAGTGATGCGGTTTGGACGTTAGTTAGTTTTTCCTTCTTTCACCCTTTTAAAATCTGACATTAATTGTAATATTCACAAAACGAGTAAAGTTGTGAAAATATCACTGCCGCGACAGCCTACAACAGATTAGCTGAACTGCGAGCTTTAATTGTAGGAAACTAGAAATGAGCAGCCTCGGCTAACGTTAGCGCATAGGCTAACTCTGAATGGTGCTGTGCTAACTGGATAGACGTTGTGTGAATGAGTGACATTTTACGCATATTTATTTCTACGGGTCTTCTTTGGTTGGGGCTATTTCATGTCACTACACAAGATATGTAACATAAGATATATGTTATATATAGAAATTTTTATTTTCTATTACGAGTTGACGTTGTGAAACACGGACGACAATTATGCGTAAAGGCAGTTGTTTTCTCGTGTCAGAACCATTAAAGTATGCAAAATGTAGTAGATGCAACATATATGGGAAATGTAAAATGTACTGCACGACATATTTAAAAAGGGATGTATTTTAATGTAAAAATACATTTTAATTCAAGAAAATAGTAAATAGCGAACTTTAAAATATAAACACAACGTACACAGTGGAGTTGGAACACAAAGCATGTTACATCTGTGTATGTGTTTCTTCCCCCCCAGGTCCAGCACAGACTATGTATCCACCACCAACAGGCCACTATGGAGCTCCACCTCAACAACAGAACTACCACATCAACCCAGTCCAATCCACTCCTGTTCATGGCAAAGTCCCCATTACGAACAATACCCTGTCTCCTAACTACTACCACAACAACCAGCAGCAGCAGCAGCATCTCCCTCAGCAGCATGTAGCAAATTCTTCTTACACTGCTCCATGCTCTGCTTCTTCTTCACAGTCATATGCCTCCCTGCCGTCTTCAGCACCTCCACCTTCAAACACCCAGTACACACAACATTCATTCCAGCAGCGGCATCCACCGTACACCACTCCAGCGTCCTACTATGGACAGCAGTCCTACCAAGTTCCCCCTCCTCCTCTGCATCATCCTACAGTAGTTCCTGCACCATCCAGTGGCTCAGAAACTCCTCTTCACCCCATTGTTTCATACCCATCGTCACAAGGAATCAGTCAGTATGGCACCTTGAGTTCTTTACAAGGCACCTCCACACCCACAATCATTTCCAACCAAATGGGTGCACCTCTACACCAATACAACACCTCACAGCCAGCCCCCACCACACCAGTGCACCCTGGGTATGGTGGCGGTCTACCTAGTCAGATGGCACCACTCATGAATGGTCAAGGAAACCCAGGTTTGTGTCATCATGCATAATCTAACCCATGGCTTGGTGGAAAATATACAAAGTTGTAAAGATTACATGTGTTTTAAAAGTCAGTATTTTTTCTTTATTGGTTATTGTAGTCCAGGCACCGTTGCAAAAACACTATGACCAAAGCCACCAGACATTGCAAAGCTACAACTCTTATGGAGGAGTCGGTCACCACTCTGGTAGTGGAGATGCAGATCGAACCCCCTTAAGAACACCATCCACTTCAGTTCATTCTTCACCAGGTCACCACCAAGGTAATACTGTCATTTAATCATCATTGTTGTTTCTCTACTGTCAGTAATGATCAAATGGTATACATGCCAGATGCTTTATATTAACATATGTGTTGTCATGCATTTGTCATAAAATATTAATTGAGAACCATTTTAAATAATTTCAGTCTCAACTATTGTGTGTTTGTGATATTCTTTATGACAAAATTAAAACAAAGACAACCACAGTACATTAAAAAAAATAGTGCATTGAAAGTGAGGTTAAGGGATTGGTTGGTTTTAGTTAAATTTGGCAAGACTTTTACAATATTGTCACTAATATGTTGGATATCTAGTTTAAACCGGTATACAAGTGTGCATGTCTGGATGTTGGATAGCCTATTCACAGCTGCACTGAATTCCTGTGCATACACATGATGTTCACATATATACAGGCGTTAGCCGTGACACATATCTGATGGTTTCATCTTCACAGTAACCACATCCATGTCAGGTGCTCCTTTACTTCAGTTGTAAACTCTTAGTATGTCAACATCAGAGAATTGCTTCTGTATTAGATGTCACATTGTTTAAAGAAGGCTATGTCTTAGGTAAAGTTCATCTATAATCCCCTGGGTTTTCAGAATTGCCTTACCATGTTAATATAAACCAGTGGCCTCAGAGTGTGTCCATTCTTTTCAGTGTTTCCAGATCAGCTTTAGTTTCAGGCAACAGATATTTGATAGAGAAGAACAGAAGAATAAGTACAGGAACAAAAGACAAAAGACACACCTCCTCCTGTAATTGTAGTTCTCTAAACACACACTGGTTATATAATTGATTTGGTACAGACTTAAGTTCTTAATGTCTTTATGAGCATGCCTGCAAAGCACAAAACCTGGTGATGCATTCATTAAGTAAATGATGCAGATGAGCCTTATCTTGAGAGTCATGGCGTTTTTAGCCTGTGATCCCTGCCAACCTGGCAGTTTCTGTTAGCTAGTAAACAGGAGTGCAGTGCGATGTAAACAGGCTGATATTTAACCAAATGTAACAAACATGAACTCCATTTAAATTCTTCTGACTGAATTCAACATGGAGAAAGACACAAAAACGCAGGAAACACTGCAGCTTGTAAAACTTGTTACTCAGTTCTGCATTGCTGAAGAACAGATTTGCTGATGTGGCTGATACAGCGACTCATGGAAACAAAACAGGAACAAAACTTTGAGCTGTGATCACTGCAGTTGAATTTACATAGTTTCATCTTCTGCGGTCTGCCCTGCACATACAATACACAAATGACTTGGGATGATGCCTACTGCATGGTCACAGTTGGTGCAGCAGCTGTAGCTGAGCAGCTGAGACTGAAACCCACTCTCAAAACATTCAAGTCACTGTGAAGAACGACAATAAATATAACAGTGGAGGTAATATTTAACTTCAACATTGTTGATGAAACAGTAGTTCAATTAAGGGAAATTGTAGTACAATAATTTTATCATTTCATGTTTCATTTCATTTCATGTTAGTTTCAGGTCCAACCATCGCTTCCCCATCTGCAGCTGATGACTCAGTCTTGACTCATTTTCTATGTTCTTTATACCCTCACTCTCAACAGGCATGCAGTATGGTTATGTGGGAAATAATGGAGCCAACTCTGCCTCTACCATTGCCTCAGACCCATCAGCAGCCCCCTCAACCTCCAGCTCTGACGAGGATGAGGATGAGGATGAGGATGAAGAAGCAGGTCTTCTTGAAGTTTTACGTTTGTTGTTGCTTGTCCACCCTCCAAAATTATTTTCGGCACACCCATTATTTCTCAACACTTTTTTTTAGATATCTAAGCACTTTGTCACACTGGCTGAGGGTTTTAACTTTTGCTTGTCAGCACTCTTCGTTTGTCATCTCATTGTACACTCCTTCCTGCTAATAAGTTAATCAGAGTTGTCTTTCCACCTGTTGCTCACCATTCTTCCCCTTAATTCATTGTCCCCACTGCTTTTACGTCAAATTCATTTTTGTAAAATACCCAGTTGTTGATCTTAATCTTTATTTAGTGAACAGAGGACTGTGTTTGACTGATCCACTCTCCTGTTGTTTTCCCACTGAGATGTTCTTCAGATAATGGTCCATCACGATCTTTGTCATCAGCCAGGGATTACCTGTTTTGTAAATATAGTCATTCCCCAGTCACCAGGTCATGGCCTTCTGTGTCTGTTTTTGCTGACTTGCCTGTATCTCAGAGGAGATAAGGCAAGTAAAGGCTTTCAAATACAAATAACATTTTTCCCTCGTCTTCAATGCAATCAAGACAGAGAACAAAAGAAGAATAAGTAATAAAGGTTCAGTGGCGTATAAGGAGAAAGACTTTACTTAGCTGTATCCTCCTCCTGCCTCTCAGAATCTCTCTCCTTTTCCTCTTCCCGAGGAGAAGATAATCCTGTGGTCTGCTGTTTAGTTGGAGATAATCAGATCACTGCCTCTGTCGTGTCATGTCTCACTTTGCGTTCGTGGCTCAGTTGTTTTGTCTCCCATGGATTAGTATCTTAATACAAATGGTCTACCCTTATAATCGCACAAAAAAACCAATACATTATGAAGCATTGGAGAATTGTAGAAAAAAAATCCACACATTCATATAAACCTTTTTTTCGCTCCACTAGTAATCCATTAATAACATAGTGACTTTTTTGAAGTATAAACTCTTGGGGGACACAGGACCCATGGCCATTAGCCAGGAGCTAAAAAAAAGAGTTCACTTATTTCATCTTTAGTTTCCATTCTTTAGTTTTGTCTTATTTTTCCTCCCCCGTTTTTTGACCGTCTTCATTTACTCTCCTTGACTAGATTCACAGCAGCTCCTTTTAACCCTTTTCTCTTCTTCCTTTTTAAAATGATTGTCCATCAGAGTAATGCAGAGGGAAACACAATAACATAATCAATGTTGCGAGACTGTGATGTCATCAGATCATCATCAGATCATCTGCAGTGATGCATGTTGGTGTTTTAGTGCCTAAATGTTTTTTGTTTTTTTTAATCAGGTGGTGATTCAACTTCTTCCTCCACTGGCAGTGCCTCTCCAGTGCCCAACAGCTATGATTCTCTAGAAGGTGGCAGCTATCCAGGTATTGAATTGTATTCGTCAAAGTAATTTATTTTATTGATTAAATTTAAATGATGGGAAACATCTAATTTTTTTCTAGGGTCATCATGTAAAAACTGTGGACAAATGTTTTAGCTCTATAAAGGCGTTTTATGCCCAGACTGTTTCAGTCTAAGAAATACAGAAAAGCAAGAGCTAAAGTACAGTTTTTAAACAATAAAATAAAACCAAGTGAATAGAAATAGTGAAAGTGTCATTTAACAAAATAGGGAGGATCTGGTGATTAAATAATGAGAATTAATATAATAATAATAGTAATAATGTCACATCACAAGACAGACCAGAATTCTGTCTTCAGAATTGTTCATCACATGTTTAACTCTGTCCCTCAGATGCCATGCTGCCATCTAATAATCTCACCAATGAGGCCCAAGCCTATTGTAACTATGGTTACCCCAGCATGCAGCAGGCTCCAGTCTCCTGCCCTGACTCAGCCTCCCCTAATGCCATGTATGGACAGTCGAGCTACCAGCAGTTCTCGCAGGTGAGATCAAAGATGTTCAAAAATGTTTTAATTTTAAGTTTAAATTAGGTTAGTAGTTTGTCAAGTTGTTTTCCTCTCGTTGTATTTCTGCAGCCCCTTCATAATTGTAAGCTCCTTTTTCTACTTCTCTCTCCATCAGCCTTTTCCAAACCTCTCCCAGCTGTCAGCAGCACTCGGGGGTCTGAGTGGGGTACCAGAGTTGGAGATGGAGGCCCTAAGACCAGTTAATCTGCTGCAGGAGAGGCTCCTGCTGCCCCGCAGACCTCTAGAGGCTCCTGAACCCAACATCAGCGCCGACCTCAAAAAGGTCAACTGTAGTCCAGAGTAAGTGATGTGATTCTGTAAAGATGAAAGGAGGATCGAGATAACTGGTTAGAACAAAAACCCCCGAAAGGTTTAGTTTATAAATTTACCTTTACTAACTTTTCCTGTATTGTGTAATTATTTTAGCTTTCATTTAAGTTCAGTCATCTACTAAACTAACATGTTATTTCACTTCTCCTTTTTCTGTGTTTCTCAGGACTTTCAGGTGTACACTGACGAGTCTCCCACAGACCCAGGCTTTACTCAACAAAGCACGACTCCCCCTAGGACTTCTCCTGCATCCCTTCAGGGACTTACAGGTAAAAACAGACCAGAACAGTACAGTGACATCACAGGTTATCAATTTAACAATTTGAGCCAGTATGTTGTTGCACATGTACTACTGGAATGTCAGTGTCAATTATTAAAAAATCTCTCCAGTTGAGTTAGTAAAATGCAGTGAAGACAAAAACTCCACTAATGTGCACTGTGAGGTTCTGACAGCATAGTTTGCAGCTGCAGCTAAAGCAGGACAGACTTGAGCAGGAAAGTGACAAGATGAGGGAAGACAGCTGAGAGTATTAATAGAGTTCCTGAGTGGTGAGGTGGTGCTACAGGGAGGAAACTGACAGAAAAGCACCAGCGATGCACCAAAGAGAAGGGTTTGAATGTTTGACAAATAGCTGTCAGAGTTCAGTATTGGCTGGAACTTTATCTGTTCAGGCACCGATGAGTGCAGCTCAAGCAGAAGAGTTGTCTTTCCTGTTGTGTTTGTTCTTAGCAAGTCTTAGACAAATGTGTCAGTTCTAGGGCAAGAGAAAAAAGAATGAAGTATAGCAGTATGTCATTATTAATTCATTCATGCTTTGTAAAAAAAATTTTTACTGATTGCTCAAAATTTCCTTCTATATGCATTTTATTTTCACTTGACCCTGATGTTTTGTAATTTGCAAAAGAGCTGAAACCTTTTTGGTTTGAGATTGAGTTAGACTATAGTAACTATTCCAAAATAAATGTATGACCCACAGGCTTGAAAGTTTTTGTCATTCATTAAAGTGGATCAAGATAAACATAAGTAAATATATCACATATTCAGTAATATTGTTAGCTAAATACTAACAATATCTTATTGTCTGTCCTGTGCAGCAGCTACCAGTGATCACGTCAAACACAATCGTACGTTGCCGCTTCTGTCGCACTTACATCAACCCTTTCGTGACCTTCCTGGACCAGCGCAGGTGGAAGTGTAACCTCTGTTACAGGGTCAATGATGGTAAGAAACCCAGTCGGGTGTTATCAGTTTTATTGATCCAGAGAAAAATGTTGAAATATTATTATCATTAGGTTGATGTCATTTTAGAGATGTTGTTTTCCTTCTCATTTGTTTTTTTTAGTCCCAGATGAGTTTATGTACAATCCAGTCACCAGGTCGTACGGTGAGCCACACAAAAGACCAGAGGTTCAGAACTCCACTGTGGAGTTCATCGCCTCCTCAGACTACATGGTAAAGTGGCACAAGTCCAAACCCTTCTGTTGATCTGTTTAGTTCACATGCTTTTTGTATAACATGATTGTCCACTAGAGAGCAGCCTTGTCTCAGTGCAGTCTCATTTGAAGGCCTGCGTGAGCTTGTAGACAATAACTACACACAGACACATCTGAGAAATAAGCATACATTTATTTAGACATTGTGTTTCATCACTAAGTCTGCTTCCTTTTGTGTTTTCTTTTTTGTTTTCAGTTGAGACCCCCTCAGCCTGCAGTCTACCTGTTTGTCCTTGATGTGTCCCATAACGCTGTGGAAACTGGTTACCTGAAGTACTTCTGTGAATCACTTCTTGAGAACCTGGATAAGTGAGTGTTGTAACTACAGTTCCCTACTTTTTTTGCATGTCTTCCTGTTTACTCATTCCTGTAGACAATAATAATAACAACAAACACTCTCAGATCTCACATACTTTTTTTTCTGTACACCAGATTACCAGGGGATATGCACACCAGGGTGGGATTCCTCACCTTCGACAGCACCATCCACTTTTACAACCTGCAGCACGGACTCTCTCAGCCTCAGATGCTGGTGGTGTCTGACCTAGATGGTACGTCTGTTTATCAATAGTCAAGATTTTTTTTTTTAAATTTATTTTAATGAAAAGTTCTTAAACGCTGTCATTTCTCCAAACTCAATGTTTCTCAGTAGTGTTGTTTCTCACCACCTCTTTAAAATCATTTGTTCTTGTTAACGAGCATTATAAGCATTATAATCAGTCCACTGTTTACACATGAGGTTAAAACTCACCTCATGTGTAAACAGTAGTTCTGTAAGGCTGTCCGTACGTTTACAGTTGAATTACAAAAACAAATATCAATACAAGTCTGAATAATGATCATCACAATGATCAATGATCAATAATCACCACAAAGTCTACATAATTAATTCAGATAATTAAAAGAAGTTTTTACATTTAAGTTTTATTCAATCATCATCATAAGCCAAATCACTAACTGAAAAGATAATTGACATTTAATCTCTAATTCCTGCTTTGAGGTTATTTATGTATTTATTTTTTCTTCCCTGCAGATGTTTTCATCCCGTCTCATGACAGCCTGATGGTGAAATTGAAAGAGAGCAGAGAGGTAGAAGAAGATTCTTTCTCAGCACACCATACAAGTTTCAATCATGAACATTACACATTTGGGTTAAGCGCATCAACAGTGTCTTTATAAAATAACCTACATTCAAACATATCCGAAGATATTCTGAAAAGGTCTCCCATTTTCAGGCATTTTCTGTATCTTTATTTCATACGTCTCTCTCCTCCAGCTGGTGAAGGACCTTCTGACCTCACTGCCGGCCATGGTCAGTCAGACCAGGGAGACTCACAGTGCCCTCGGCCCAGCTTTACAGGCCGCCTTTAAACTCATGTCTCCCACCGGAGGTCGCATCTCAGTTTTCCAGACACAGCTCCCTTCACTGGGCGCTGGTCTGCTGCAGTCGAGGGAAGACCCCAACCAGCGCTCCAGCAGTAAGGTGAGAGGGGGAAGAAACAAGAGACTAAAAAAAACATTTGACTTTTTTTGCTTTGCTCTGTTTTTTTAATTGTGGCCATAAGTGTGCTTAATTTTAATAGCAGTGGTTTTGGTTTTATCTTTTATTCAGTCAAAGCTATTTTCAGACATAAAACAGCAACATAATGACCTTGTCCTCTTCTCTTTGAATAGAGCCTGTGAAACCACATGATGGATCAAATGTAGCACAAATATTTCCTTCTCCGCTGTGTGTGGTTTTCTATTTATTTTCCAAATATGTCCCAACTATAACTAGGTAACCTTTTGGCCTTTTTCCGTTAAATTTAGAAGGTAAAACAAAAGGATACTGAGGAGCAAGCAATTTCAGCGAGAGTTTAACAGTGACCGAGGAAATCTCTTTAAGAAAACTTTTTTTTTTTGGCGTCACTGTTGAAATTCCAGATATTACATGAACGCATTTATTTGTTTACAGGGAGTCCAGCACCTCGGCCCTGCTACAGACTTCTATAAGAAACTGGCCCTGGACTGCTCAGGGCAACAGATCGGAGTGGATCTTTTCCTACTCAGCTCCCAGTATGCTGACCTTGCCTCATTAGGTATTTATAAGATTTTGTATTTTTGTGTATTTACATTAAACTGTACACATCACTGTAAACACACAATAGAAAGCTAAAGAGCAGTGTGGCTGCTGAAGGCCATCTGTCACAGAGATGCTCAACCTGTTCAGTCCTGGCAGGTGACTTATTGCCCCGCTGCAGGAAGGTGACCCCACCCTGTGACAGCTTTGAGGATGTTAAATTGAAATCATGTTTGAATTTATACTCGTAATTTTTATTCAGAAAATTCCCACAAAAGTCCGACGGTGGCTCAAAACATAAAAAGATACATTTTTACAGTCCCATACATATCTGTAAAAGTGAAGCCTCTCTTATTCTCCTTCTGCCGTTCTCCAGCTTGTATCTCCAAGTACTCAGCGGGCAGCGTCTTCTACTTCCCCTCGTTTCATCACATCCACAACCCTACACAGCTGGAAAAGTTTCAGAGGGATCTCGAGCGCTACCTCACCAGGAAGATTGGCTTTGAGGCGGTCATGAGAATACGATGCACTAAAGGTAACTGGATATGATCCTCAAATGCTTTGTCGTGGAATTTTGCCGGCGTATCTGAAATCAAATTTTCCGTTCAACTGAAAGATAACACTGAATCATCTCCACCTTCTTCTTTGCCTCTTTGTCTCAGGTTTATCCATCCACACATTCCACGGCAACTTCTTTGTGCGCTCCACCGACCTTCTGTCCCTGGCTAATGTGAACCCTGATTCGGCCTTCGCTGTTCAGATGTCAATTGAGGACTCTTTGGCCGATTCGTCTCTTGCCTGTTTCCAGGCGGCCCTGCTCTACACCTCCAGTAAAGGTGCACAACTGCAGCAGTTACTGTAGAAACTCACCTGAATGCCATTTTCCTTTTTTAAATAATTAGATTACAATATATAAAAACAAACTTTTTTGTCTGACTGTCGTTTTAGGAAAAAGGAGAATCCGCGTTCACACTCTGTGTCTGCCTGTGGTCAATCAGCTGAGTGATATTTATGCCGGTGCTGACGTCCAAGCCATCACTTGTCTGTTAGCCAACATGGGTGAGTCTCTATATCAGGTCTTTCAAAATATTGAAAAATTCCTGAAGGTATCCTGTATATGGAAATCCTTTCTAAACACATAGGGGGAATTTTAACCTTTTTGCTGTGATGACATGCTGAAAGCTCTTGATGTTTAGTATAGTTGTTCAGAACCTCTTTTGTCATTAGTCATTAGATGTTCACTCCCTCCTGCTCTTCTTCCTCTAGCCATCGACCGGTCGATATCGTCCAGTCTTTCGGACGCTCGAGATGCCCTGGTCAACGCTGTGGTGGATTTTGCAAACTCTTATAAGAGCAACGTGTCGAACCTGCAGCAGTCTGGCCTCGTCCTCCCTGCCTCCATGCGCCTCTTCCCTCTTTACATCCTGGCTCTGCTCAAACAGGTGCAGCTGAATTCATCTTTGTAAATGCTTTGTACACAGGGTTGAAAAACAACGGAGATGAAACTGTCAGTAGGTTCATAATCTTCCATGTAATTCTTACCAGTTGATTTAGTTTGTCTCTTTAATTTGCTAACTTTCTAGATATATTTATTCACATATATATTCAAGATGAAACCATGTTCAACATTTGTTAGTGATGTTAAAGGCAGAAGCAGTATAACCTAATCATCCACAGTCACATATATAAAATGAATGTGACTAAATAATGCCAGTGGTGTTAATATTGCACTTCAGTTACATCATCATCATCCCAAAACACACACACATTCTAATAAAGGCTGTACTACAGGTCACATTACTTAACACTGAAATGTTTCACAGCCTTAAAGTAAACAAACATACAAAAACTTTTCAAAATCATTAGTTAATAATAATAATTCATTTTAGTAACAGCATAAAAACACTAGATGATTTGATGTGGCAATATTTCAATATCAGTTTTTTTCATCTGCAGAAATCTCTGCGGACAGGAACCAGCACTCGCCTGGACGAGCGTGTTTTTGCCATGTGTGATTTTAAGACGCAGCCACTTCAGCAGCTGATGAGAATGGTTCATCCTGACCTCTACAGGTTGGATGACATGTCAGACCAGGTATAACACAACTCTAGCCTATAGGTGGGGCTGCCACTTACAGATTATGTTTATTGCTTATTGTAAAACAACATAGGACAGACTGAGACTGACTTTTTTAATCTAGTAAAAAGCTTTCCTTCTATGCATTTGCTTTGATTCTGTGCAACTCCCAGGGGGCACTCCATCTTAACAACACAGTGGTACCACAGCCTCACCTGCTTCACCTGGCCGCAGAGAGACTGAGCAGAGACGGAGCTTTCCTCATGGACTGTGGCACAGTGAGCGTTTTAATTATTGTTTATTTGAATGAAGTTTTTCTGTCAGACAAACATCTGGTTCTTACTGTGAACATCCTAACGCAAATCCTACTTGATATTTTGAGTGCTTTCGAATGTCTAATTTGACGCTCCGTCCTCACTGTACTCCCTGTCTTTTTTTTTGCCTCAGACGTTTTACCTGTTTATCGGCAAATGCTGCAGTGAGATGTTCATTCAAGATGTCCTGGGGTACCCCAACTTCACATCAATACCAGCCAATATGGTCAGTGATGAGAACTCAGGGCCAATAATGTTGTCATAAAGCTGCGTCTCAACCAAGTAATTCAACTTTCAACATCCTCTGACACAACTTGGACGTTAATCTCCCTTACTGTCCTTGGGGAGGTTGAAATTCTGTTGTATGTCATGTGTGTAGAATCTCCACCCAGTTTCTGTAACAATGATGCAACATAGGGTTGAACCCCGGTCTATTAAGATGAGTCAGAAGTGCATCATTGTTAAAAAAAAAAAATCTAAACTCACTGAAGCCCTATTTCCTTTTTTAACAACCTCTGTCACATGATGCCATCATGACACCACCACAGAACATCTGCTGTCAGCACTGGTTAATGCTGCGTGTTTGTCTGTGCAGTGGGGTCACTACATCCCACTAACTCCACATTGCAGACCTCAGGCATGTTTCTTAAACACCATGTGTATCCACAGTGTTTTTTTCTGTCTGGACTCTCTCTCTCTCTTTATGTTCTCATTCTCTCTCCTGATTTCTAAATCTCAGAGTTACATTCCTGAGCTGGAGACTCTTCTGTCCGAGAGAGTGCGAGCGTTTGTCGACTGGCTGCAGGACAACCGAGCGTTCAGCTCCTCAATTCACGTTGTCAAGTAAGAACACACACAAAAAAAAACCCTCAACTTCACTATTCAGTGTACACGTTGTCAAGTAAGAACACACACATTAGGACATTTGGGACAATTAAATAAAAAACCTCAACTTCACTATTCAGTGTATCAATAAATAGCAATATCATAACCTCAATATCATAACCTCAATATCATAACCTCCAGGGGTAGAATTATAATTATTGTCACTATCAGTAACATGATTTGAGATCTGCTATTAGAGTGATGACGAGGCACGATGTGCGCCCACACACCTGCTTGTTGATCATCAAGACCTTGTGAGTCACAGCAGAGATTCCATTGTAAACAGATGTTAAACAGTGAGGTCACAGATGTGACGGCAGTGTCAAAATATTCCACCGGGACATATTGTTTCTATTTCCACTATTTCTGTCGCTGTGCCGTGGCACTGCATTGTTGCTTAACCACGTGTTTACACTATTGTGTTGCTGTGGAGCTGACATCACTGCAAATACCAACAGTCTGTTAACTAAGTTCCCGGTGTGTTTTCAGGGATGATGCTTCGTCCAAAACCACTTTTTTTCAGCACTTGTTGGAGGATCAATCGGAGTCTGCTTCGTCCTACCAAGAATTCCTGAAACACATTCAACGCCAAATGTCCTAGTAGAGAGAAACGCTGACCCACACAGACGGGACGTGACAACAACAGGCTGCGGCCTCGTAGAATTGAAAAGTAGGCCTTGTCAGTGACAGGACAGGACAGGACAGCTGTTGTGGGTTTAAATCCACCTCCTGTTTTTAAACACGCTCTGAAACAAAGTGATGCCCAATGCTGTGATTTTACATTAGAAAGGGATGAGATGTGAAGAGTGAAAGAAAGCAATTGAAGAATGAATGAAAAAACACGTATTTGCTACATGACACATTGAAAAAATGAAAACTTTTGATCAGCGTCTCTGCGCTGTCTCCTTGTCAAGTAGACTTGTGAGGACTGAGGAGAAGAAGGTTGAGCCAAGAAGATGCCACTTCATTGTTGTTTTTAGTTGAACTTGTGTTTGTGAACCCATCATGTAGTCACCCTTGATTTTAAACTTTTTTTTTTTTATTCCCTTCTTCGCTCCCTGTGTTTGGTTTTGAATACACTGGAGAACAGGACATTCCTTCTGTTAAATGGCACGTGCTCTGAAATTAAGCATGTCACTTTTTTTTTCTTGCTGCTAGACTGAAGTTAGAAGACAAACAGGGAAACAACTCATGAACAAACCTCCCTTTTCCTTTTTCTGCTTTGTGAACTGATTATGTCCAGGTCAATGTGTCAACAGTTTTATTTTTGGAATTTTTTTTTGTCTGTTTTCCCGGGCTCTAACTCTTGTTGCTCTTGACTTTGTAACTATTGAAAAAAAATAAAAAGAATCTTTTATGTCTGATAATTTATGAACAAGCTTATTAAATAAAATAAAAACCACAGTTTGCTTTCTTCATGTGTGTGACTCATGCATATATGTTAGATTAGTCAACTTTCTGAAGTGTAAATGTCCTATAAGTAAGCCGTCTAAATAACTTTGAACTTTTATAATTTATTGACAATAATTTACAACATTCATTTTTCAGACTTGGTGACAGTTTGTGGTCAATATTCATGATGTCATTTTTATTTTAGCCAAAACCAGCACAATAATGTTAGGAATAATCCAGTGGTGCTGACATTGTACATTTAAAGTCATTATGTGTTCAATGTAAACATTGGTTATTGTGTTGTTCTAGACTCCCCACCGAACGTCTCCTCGACAGGAAATGACAAATCTTCCTGCGGAAGTTTCCAGTTTTCAGTAGCGTGCAGAGCAGCTCTGTGTGAAACTTAACAGAGTCGGGCTGCTTAAGAAGGAGCTGTTAAATACTCAGGAGCTAATTGTCTGTAATAAAAACACAAACAGAGAACCGACTGCTGCCTGCACTGGCGAACAGATCTGGCTCACATATGGTGGAGCGTTGGGAGTTCTCATGGAAAAACTGCAGCCTGGACCTCAAATATGTCCGAAACTCACTGTCGGCCAAACAGGAGGCATCTAACGTTCTCTGTTCTCATATTCGAACAAACATGGTTCAGTTTAAAATGTGATGCTGGAAGGACATCCAGCTGGAATGGGGTGATGAGAGTTTGACGCACTTCAAAACAGCAGCAAAATCCAGAAGTAATTTGATGATTTGTGACACCACATGTGAATCTCCTCGTTTGCTCTCAGATACAAAGATCATTGAGCATGAAAAATAAACCACAGTTTTGTTTTGTTTTTTTCTCAAATCTGTTGCAGCAGCACACATCTGACTCTGAATCCCTCCACTGTTTCTCACCTAACAAACAAAGTGGGTGCTGTGCTGTTCTGTGCTGCTCTGGCAGCTACATTTAACCCCCAGCTCTGACTGGTCCAGCCCTTCATACACCCACCACCGTCAGCCCTGCCCCTGTCACCAGCCCAGGAGAGTGGTCCAACTTTCCTTCTGCACTACAAACCCTCTTTGATATATTTATGATTGTGAAGTCACAGTTTCCTCACACACTCAGTGAGATGTTTTCTACTTCCAGAGTCTTAGCTCTGCAGCAGTTGCTGGAAGAGCACAGAGTTGACCAGTTAAACAGAAACATTTGGGCTGAAGAAAAAGCACGCTCCACCTAACATTTACAAAAATACATTTTACAGATGTAGTTATCTGTATGTCTGCAGCCATGAAATGTATTGCTTATAGTTGCATCGATTCCCAGGGTAAGCTAAGCTAAAACTTGCAGTGGATAGTTACTTAGTTTCTGCCTTTTTTATCTTTAAGTTTTAAATTCAGGTCTTTTATTCTTTAAAGACATCTACGTCAGAGTCGATTCTTCACTGGCTAACATCTCCACCCTTGAACAGACTCAGTACTGATGAGTACTAATGAGTACTGATGAACACAGCACCACAGAATTAGTGTGAACCAAATGAATAGTTGATTCTATGTTCAGGAAGCCATTTTTAACTGAAGTGATTATCTGTTACCTTCACATCACTGTTAAATGATTTCACACACAGCTGATTAAACCAATCAGCTCCGTGTGATTCTCTGTTTATTTCTCATTATAGCCACACTGAGAAATACAACGGGATAATGTGACCCAGAAGGTGGAGTGGCCAATAGGCCTTCACCCAGAAATTCTGGGGATTCGGTCGATGTCCTAATGCCATCGCGTCCCTGGGCAAACCCCAAGTGGTTCTGGGTGCTGTGTTCACAGTGTATGAATGGGAAAAGAATGTTTGTGAGTGTGTTTCCTTGTCAATTCCCTGGAATCAGGAAAAACATGCACATGGCTTCAAACTCCTTTCTCTAACAAAAGCCAACATAAAGTCATCAAACATGAATAAACTCTTAACAATTCAACAGTACTTTCCTATCATTCCTATCTTAAACAATGTCAAAACAAAGAATTCTCTGATCAGACCCAGTCTCAAACACAGACAAAATGGCAACATCTCTGCTAAATAGCAGTGTCACAGTCTTCCAATCAGCCTGATCAGTGACCCCTGGTTGCCACGCCCACACCACCATCACACACTCAGACACTCTTAAAAGAGAAACTTTACAGCAGCAGATATTCTTCAGACAGTTGCACAGGTCAGGAATGAGAGCGCCTTCTGCAGGAAAATACAAAATTCTGATGCCAGATAAGGAGCTCATGCCATGTTTTTATGTCTGTGGTTTTCCTACTGACATAAAATTGGTTGCATGTCTTGTCTGTTTTTTTTTTCTTGTCTGGATAAGTTTGTTCGTCTGTTCAAAGTTCATTGCTGGTGTTTGGACTCCAGGTGTCGACGTTTTCATGACGGCCAAATAAAGCCGAGGTCTCGTCACGCGTGTCCGTGAAGGCCACGCGGTTCTCATCGGGCTTCTTTCTCACCATGTGATGAGCAAACGCTGCTGTTTGTTCAGCTTTCCTGCAGCATGGCAGCAGTTTGTTCCAGATAACAGTCCTGAACAGACCTTTCAGCTGTCATGAGGAAAGGGGAAAAAAGAAAAGAAAAAAAAACCCTGTCTGGGTTTATTATGATGAGTGTTCTTCCACACTCAGGCCAGAGCTCTCAACTTGAACCACATGTAGAAGGACTTCAGAGAAAACAAATACTGCAGAGTTCAACACAGCCTCCTGGAGGGTTGAAAGTAGTTTGATCTCAGTTATTGTTTCATCAGGTGACTGTAAATCTACGTGTCATCAATAGAAACATCAAGCTGTACATTTCCTAATAAATGAAAAAGCACTTGATGCTTTTGGATTCATTTCAAACAGCCGTTGAAGCTAACATTGGTCGATGGAAGACTGTGCAGAAGGAACGTGAAGGTGTTTTTGAAGCGGTGGACGGAGAGCTGCCCTTTTAACACTTTTCCTCTGCGTAGCTAAAGTGGCTGTGGACTGTTGTGCTTGGCCTGCAGCACCCGCTGACGTCAGATTCAAACCTCCTTTCCCAGGAGCCTTTACTGTACCTATGGAGGGCCCCAGTGTCTGAGGTGGAATGTGTGAGTCCACCTAGTTACATAAGAAATCCTGGCTCTACGCTGCTCTCAGTGCAGCTCCTCAAACTGCTCCGCTTCCTCTGAATTGATTGGCCGAGTCAGGAAGTCATTTCCTGCTGTCAGGTCTTGGCTTCCTCTTCTGGCTCTTTTAAACATCTTCAGCACTTCCTCCACCAAAGGCTGTAACAAAGAGGAGCAAATGGAAAATATCCTGATAGCAGAGCTCTCTCTGTCACCATCAGTGTTTTCCAACAGGCTTCACGAGACACTGATAACGCAGTGGCTCAGGGTTCCCAACTCCCTGCTGCTAAAAATACACAGTGCTATAAATGACAAACGAAAGAGACAAACGATCTGAGCAGAGCCGTCTTATGTGGTTATAACGGTAAAAAAAAAAAAGGACGACTAACCAAATGGAGGAAATAATCAAAGGACTGAAATGTTTTTCTGCCTATTAATTTATTGTTTTAACGCATAGTGCAAGAGGTTAAACGTCCCCAGGGGGGTGTGGCCAAACTCTGGCTGGAGAGTCAGTAGTACTTGGTATTTTTATGTGGATATGCTGCCATTAAAACCCTCGGCTACATCCATGAAGCTCCTTTGAGGTCCTGATGGTCGTCTCCACCCACTGCTTTTTTGTGGTCCCGTTGGTGGCTTCAGATCATCTGCGATGGTTAGAGTTTGTGGGTGATTGTACAGGAGGAGGGCCGAGGTAGGAAGACTGAACTTGACACACGTGCTGGTCCAATGGAAGTGTACTGTTCAGGTCTTACAATATTGGAAGTATTCTGTATACATAGTATACCGCTACAATCAGCGGCCGAACCAAGTTCACCGTTCAACCACGGCTAAATTAATTTGTAGCTAGTTTTGTTTATTTCTTTGCTAACTCTTAGCTGTCTTGAGCTAAGTTTTGGCTACTTGTAGTGATCTTTTGGCTTTATCTTCACTAACTTCTTATAATTAAACTACAACTTGTGGAAAATTGGAAGTATATTTGAACCAAAACACGGGACTTTTGTGTGTTACAGAAGCAAAAGTCAACATTTACCCGACCAAAAGTTGACAAGCTAATAAAAACTGCTAATTATCTTCACCTGGAGAGCAAAGAAAAATATTTATAGGGGCATGTTGTGCCCGGCACAAATATCTGACACCGATGTACACGCTTGTGACTTTGGTGCCGACTTAATTGAGCCCGTGTGGATGTTTTATTTCTCATTTCAGAGGGGAAAAAACAATTAAATACTCCATGTCAGCCACTGGCAGTCATTTGTAAACATACAGTGAGACAGCGGCCATGTTTCCACATATCTCAGGTCATTGTAAATTAGATCTTTCATTCAAACGACGACTGCGTTGGTAGTGGAGAGCTGGGACTCATATGAGAGCCATGATCTGACCGGGAAACTCAGCCAGCAATGATGTCTGTCCTGCAGGCATCAGGCCTGGCCTGGAGGAGTTCTTTAATGGAAACAGTATTTTGTGAATAATGAGAGAACAGAAGAGGTGACTGCTGAGACACACACCACAGATCTGCTGTATCGGTTTCCCACAAAGGCAGAGTTTTATTAATAGCGATCCGCTGCACATATCCGATTCTTCATGGATTTGCTGTCTCATGAGGAGGACGAGTTCTGGACATGAAACTGTCTTGATGTCCGTCCCTTTTCTTTCTCACCAGGTCAAAAATACTGCAGATTTCTTCTCAACAGGAGCAAAAATGTGCGGTTATGAATTTTGGAATCATAATCAATTTGGGCCAGCCCAAATAAGTGCCTGCGTCGGTGCTTAGACCTGTGCCATAAAAAAACTAAAACAATAGGAAATGTAAAATTCAATAAAAACAGTCTGTTGTCACTGGAGTGGTTCGTGCTTATGTGGGTGTAATAAATGAACTACTCACAGTCAGAGCCCAGTCCAGAAACAACTTGGAGAAATGTGTTCATTTCCTCTAGAAACAAGGCTGCCAGCAGGGAAACACATTTTGAGCACTTTTTAATCATGTAGTGCCGAGGTCATAAATATATCTGTCAAAGCTGGTATGTTATTTTTAATCATTAAAATGACATCAGTCTCTGACTCTGGTCCTCTATCCAATACGACAAAAAAACAAAACAAAAAAACAATATCTACAAGGCAACTGTTTCGTGTCTTGACGTTGTTTGTATGTGTGAAAACAACAATTTATAACAAGTCTGCACAGGAAACAGCGCCGTGGTGCGTCATCGTCTCCTACAGACAGTGAACAGGTGATTCCATACGTCTCTGAGCAAACGTGTTATCACGGTGATTCAGACGTTTTCACGAGCAGCGTTACATCAGAACAGATTTATTATCTGCAAAAGTCAAAGGGAGAGGGGGTTTGAAGAGATCTGTCAGGTCTGTCTGCCTCTCTGTTGGCCGCTCTCTCTGGGTAATTGGTGTCATCATGTTCACCTGTGTCCCGTGGTGTTCATCAGTCTCACTCGTCTCACCTGGTGCCCAGGGTATATATACACCTCTGTACCCCTCACTCTGTTTTGATGTGTCATTGTTGTTGCTGTATCAGGTTTCTTGTGTCATTGTTGTCGGTTTGTTGTTGTTGTGTCATGTTTTCCTCTGTATTGAAAATGATCAGCTCTGTTGTCCTGCACTTCCTGTTGTCTTTTCTCTGTTTTCTCTGTCCCCTGTTCCCACCCAGCCCAAAAACTGAAACTTTTTAAGTTCTATTTAGTTTGAGGTAAATGATTTAACCTGAGTTTCTGACAGTGGACGAACTACATTTAATATTCAGGTCCCACCGGGGTCATAGACCAGTAAAGGGCATGAATGAAGTCCCTTGAACTGCAGTAGAGCTCGTGACCTGCTGTGATATTTTTACTCTGGAAATGTAACGTGGATCCACACACACTCACACAATCTTATCATCACACACACACACACACAGTTGTCCCACTTGTGGACGTCAGAGAACACCTCTGATAAGTTGTTCACTACAAAACAATCTTCTATTTTGTAAGTGACATTAAAATAGATGTTCAGTGTATGACTATGAGGTGAGAGACGCTCAATATGGATTGAACACATTTTAAACAAATGTATTTAAATTTTTAATGCACATCTTTTGTCAATGTTTCAATTAAAAATCAACATATTCACAACACAATGTAAAATTTAATGAGCAAATGTTAATTGTGTACATTTTCAATGTTCTCTGCTAAAGAGTTCAACAAATGCCTCATTATCATTTTTTTAAATTGGGTTCCAGTTGGTTTGGCAACGCTTTCAAATAAATGAATCCAACTCAATCCATTAGTCAACATATTATATAAAAACAAAGAAAATCATGTTAGGACCATCAGGACCATCAGAGTGAACTTTGGATCAGTTAGATATGGTTGACCATCTTATCATTAAATACAGCATGGGTGACATGCAGCGGCCAATCAAACGCAGCGGTGTGCAGAAGTGTATGGGAACACGACACAGAACTGTTTGTCTGTCCTAATCTGACGCTGTATTATCAGAGTGTTGATACACTGTCAACTCTCACTGCACAAACATTCAGTTCAACAATGCATCACCATTTTAGCCCGACTTCATCTGTGCTGTGTTTTATTTGTTTGTATTTCACTTCAAAACAACAAAGTTTGTCCAGGATACCTGACGTTTACTCAGTCGTCAGGAGAACTTAAAATATTGTAACACAGTGATTCTAAAAGTGGGTTTCAGGGCAAGGGAGTGAGTTGTAATTGTGCTCCTTGGAGGCAGCCCATAATGTAAGACTGTTGTAACGAAACAAGGAAACAAACCCTAATCTTCACACTGAACCACAGACAGAAAAAAAAAGTCCTGTAGCGGGTAAACCTGGTGCTTACCGCTACTTTCGGTTTACATTCAAGGCCCGACTGTAATCGCCGATCTCACGGCTCATTTTAAATAATCGTACATTTTGGTTTTCTTTGCGTAGTTTATATAGAGTTGAAATCTGAATGTTTCATATTTTAGCTCTGGCTACCTTCATGTTCAATGTACAGTCTGTGTTGAAACCTTTACATTTAATTGACATCGAATGGTCACTGAGTAATAAATGAGAAATAAGGATGATTTACTTGAAGACTTCACTGGAGAACTCTGTATTATTTCACAGAGATTTGTGCAGGACACGCACTAATGTGGCAGTGAGAAGGAAATCAGCCGGCGAGCTTAACTGTTGCTCAAGTCAAGCTTTCAGTGAGGGAACCACATAATTATGGGTCTAATCAAGAATCCAAAGATATCATCAAAGGGAGCACTGTGTTGTGTGTTGTGTGTTGTGTGTGTTGTGTGTTGTGTGTGTTTGTGGATGTGGGCTTTATCAGGCCTGTATTTACCAGTTCCATCATGTGAAATTCAACATAGTCAGCCAGGACGTTTCCGTCTCTGCAGAATCACCATAACACTGAGTATTTATCTGATCAGGGAGAGTCCTGTGCTGAGTACTGTACAGCAACGATTACATAACAGTATCCACTGAGGAGGAAAGGGCTTTAGGGTGTGTGTGTGTGTGTGTGTGTGTGATGGCGGAGGAGATTTGATGATTTTGAAAGGACTGTCATCTTATTTTGTGCTGGAGCAGGTGACTCACAAATCCTCCTAATGTCAACATACGTTATCTGTGATTGGTCCAGAGAACATAAACACACAGAGGGAGTCATGTGAAAGTGTAGATGGTAGAGTGGGAGTTGTTCCGTTGTCCTCATCCTCCCTAGTGTAGGCTACCTTAGGACAGTGTTTCCCAAACTGTTTTTCTGGGAACCCATATTTTAAAAGTCGCAAACCAAGTCAATAGACATTATTCGTAAACTCCTGGGAAACATGATGTAAATCGACCCCCCCCAAAAAAACACTTGCCACCCACCTGAGGGTCGCGACCCAGTCTTTGGGAAACAATGCCTTAGCATATCATAATAATCATTAGTTTAAAAAAATATTTTTATCAGTAAGTTATTTTAAATCAATTACTAGACATTTCAAGCAGTCCCATTTAAATTCCAGGTGACCCCACGTGGGGCCTCGTCCCCAGGATTGAAAAACACTGGTTTAATGTGTTTAATGACCCTAATCCTGCAAATATTTTTTTTTACTCCTCAAGGGGAGAATTCATTCATTCAATCGACCTTTTAGTCACCACAGGGAATCAAACAAGTGACCTCCATGCTGTAAGGCAAATATGATTACCACTTTACCACTGTGTTGCTGCAGTAGAGCTGTAACATCTAATATATGGGAGAACTACGTACTTGGAAATACCGAGTGCAACCAGATGTTCCTGCTTCCAGGATTCTGATCACGTGACCAGTGTTTTAGAGTGGGAATAATTTCCGTATCAGAGTAGTGGGATTACAGAGAGGAACAGCAGTCAGACTTCCATGTGAGGGATTGAATGTTAATGAACTCCAGTCTTTTTCCTGATGGATTTGACTCCAGTGTTAAATAACGAGATGGAAAGGTTAAAGATGAATGATGAAAGAGTCACATGACCACCCACCCAGCCCGAACATGTGAACCCACCCATGGGTTGAATGGACGGATGTGTTCGAATTGTGCTTCTCCTCCATTTTCTTCTTTCCTTCCTCCTTCCTTCTTCACGAACTCTCCTGCTCCTTCCACTTTGTTTTTCCCCTCTTCCTCCTCATCCTCCTCCCCGTGGCGTTCTGTTTGGGGGAGTGTCCAGCTCCGGGTGGGAGTGGCCTATCCACTGTTGATAGTAGTAAAACCCTCCACATTCTCACACACACCCACAGTCCACACACACACGCACGCATCCGTCAGTGTGAGTCCTCTCCACTCACTGCGCTTCTCTCCATCCGTGCGTCCTGTGCGTCCTGTGCGCACCGCCGTGTCCTGGTTGCCGCTGCCGCTGTTTTGGACTTTTGGATAAAACAGTTTGTGAGAGTCATGGATTCGCAATCTCCGGCCCTGATGAAGCTGTCAGAGGAGCAGCTCAAAGTACTGGAGGATAGTTTCAAAGGCTGCAAGTACCCGGACGAAACCATGCTCATGTTGGTGGCCGCGGAGTGTGGACTGTCGGAGCAGGACACACAAGTACGTCTTTAAATATCTATATATATATATATATATATAGTTTTTAATGGAATTTCTGTCATGTAATCTGCTTTCTCTAAACTAACACAAAAATGGTAATAAGGAAGCATTTAATATACATTTATGTATTTTAAATACTATACTATACCTATAATTACTTCGTAGCTCTTTTATTTCTTTATATCTAAAATATTTCATCATCAAGCTGTGACTTGGCCCTTGTTCTGTATAATAGGACGGCTTTTTTCTCTAAATATAAAGGGAAATAATCTAAGTCTGTGCCATAGTATACTGTACAGTATACAGAGCAGTAGTACTTCAGCCCAGGCAGAACAACACATCAGTCCTGCCTTTATGTTCATCAGATAATGTAGTGCAAAGAAAGTTCAGAGGTCACGAGGGTTGTCACATTCATGTGACCTCTGTGGAATCCTGACACTGTTGTTGAAGGTTTCCTGAAATGCCTGATTTTCCAAGGATGCCATGTTACGTCATTGGACGTGAGTCAGAGTGCGTTGTCATTGGATTGCCTCGAAATGCTTCATGTTTGGTCAGCCATGATCAGGAGACATGCGTTGTCAATGACATAACTGTCTCTCCTTCAGAGACTCCAGGGGTGAAATGTATGAAATCTGTCTGTGTCAAAATTACCAGTGAAAGATTCAGGGCGGGTCGGATGCTGCGTTCTCATTTTGTCCTAGGACAGTTATGGCATCATTGTGACAGCTCTACATCAGATTAGTTAATTGCGATCACACAGCCGATGTCGGGGGGAGGTTACCAGCCCCCAGTGGTTTTTCTTACCATTGTGTCCTTGAGAATGTCACTCAACCACATGTTGAACCTCCCAGCCAGTAACAGAGAGGTAAACATGATGTTGGTCAAAACAAAAATGAGGACTTCAAAGCTGGTGATTTGTTTGGCAACTGTTCAACTATCGCCATTTCTAAAATGCAGACAATAACAAAACAACAACCCAATGAAGATCAAAACAATCTTTATTCTTCTCAGGGGACATTTTTTCTTCCACAGCAGGCAGTAGAAAAAGTTCAAAATCATCATTCAGTGCCAACAAACAACAATGAAAACACACAGGAAGTGCATGAACGGAAGATAATGAAACATTTCCAAGTTCCATTCAAACCAGTAGCTGCTCCACTGAAACTGAATGCAGCAGATCTGTGGACTGTGACTCTGGTCCCAGTGACTGTGGCTGACGTCTTTGTGAAAACATGCCGCTGTGTGACCAAAGTTCTTATTGGTGTTCAAAGCGATGCTGGATGCTGAATGCAGGGACCCCGCTAATCATCACAGAGTCGTGGGGTTTGTTTTTCACCATGAAGTCGTGTGGTGTAGTGAAGTGAAGGCTTCTGCTGTTATTCATCTATTCAGGCTGAGTTGAAAGCGACCACCCTCAAGTGCGCTCTGGGGTTACATGGATTTTTTCATTCACAAGGAGGAAAATCAAACAAACAAACACGTGACACATGTGCTCGTCTCCTCGTGTGCGTCATATGGAGTCAACAGAAAATGAATAGCCCGCGATTGTCACACAGAGCAGTTCAAACACGAGCGACAAACTTCCTGGCTTAGTCTCTTTCACCAGTGATCAAACATTTTGGTTCCTAACTTCAATTAAAGGCCTTTTCCTCAGTGGTTTCCTTCAAACATTTCTTAAAGAATTCACTGGCAGATGACAGTTTTGACTGCGTGTCATCACCAGTGTAGTCATTTATTTATTCATATTAAAACAAACATGTCATACTGTATGTATCAAACTTGACAGTGGATGTGATCAGCTCATTCTCTATGGTTGATTCATTTTGAAAAGACAAACGAGTTCATAAAGATGGAGATAAAGTAGTGCCAATAAAAAAAAATTAGTTGAAATTTAAAAAAATATTGTGCAGATTAAAAAGGGATTCCGTAAAATAAGTAAATATTCATACCAGGGCTATCTATTGGATTTAAAGCAGTGGTGTCAAACATACGGCCCTCAGGCCAAAACTAGCCCACTTGGGAGTTAAATCTGGCCCGCTTGAAGAATTTTGAAAGTGAAAAAAATGTACAAAGACTTCATGTTCGTGATGTTTTGTCAAATTATGCTCCTGTTGTACATTTAATCGTTTCCAAAGTTATAACAAATAATGTGGTATTATTACAAAGGTCAGTCTTTAACATCAGAACATGATTAAAAAATGACACCTGCAGTACAAAGTGTTTAAAATAGATAAAGGTTAGCCAAGAAATACCTCAACATTAGCCAAAAATATTCACCACATTTGACAAAAAGAAAACATTATCGTATAATCTGCTGAACACGTGCTGTAAACAGACCTCGGAAATACAATAACACAAACCCAGGTGTAAATATCAACCATTTAATTCAGATTTAAATGAGTTTATACAGTAAATACAGGGATTTTGTTTCACAGAGTAATTAGTAGAAATAAACCCAGACGTATTTCTGTAAAACATCACTTTATTTCTGAGGTATTCAGTCTCTCCCACACGTGTGTGTACTCCCACCGTGCTTCTATCTGAGGAATGTTTTTTGGCTTGGAGTGTACAGTCGGTTTAGCTCTCACATCAGGAGCCAGATGTGAGCCATCAGAGCAGTGATAACCAAAGTAAAGCCTGCAGACTCCTCCGGTGGCATTCCACTCACAGATAAGTCTGTGTCAAAGCACAGAGAGGAATAAATACCTTTTGTTTGGCAGGAAGAGATAAATGTCCACATTTAAAGTGGACATGACCTCGACTGAGGTGTTGTTGGTGTCCGGGACTGGCAAAGGTCTGTATGAAAATCCTGGTGTTAGCCTTCATGCATCATGAGACGATTTTACAGTCAAATTTCTGCAGTCGGGGTTGGGATGCTCACATGACAAGGAATATATTGACCTTTTTGTTATGATTAACTCTACCAGTACAAACAGTTCACCAGTCAATAACTCCACAATGTCGACCAGAGAAACGCTCCACCCTGGTTTTTGTACTTTATCTGCACCAACCGGTTCATCCAGACTGTTTTAACCTGACGGATCACTTGAAAATCTTGGGAGGTTTCAGCAGCTGAACTAAAACATGAAAATTCAAGATTCAAACCCTTATATTTTAGAGAAGTGATTGGAGCATTAGGATTATAATATTAGTAAAATGCCACGTCCTCTGTAGGTGGACATTATTGTAGGGTTTAGTTCTGCTGCGTTTGTTCCACTAAGTAATACATACAGGTACGTTCATCATACCATTTTTGAAAATACTGTAGTAAATACTTAAATAAAATAAACAGCGTTAACGTTCAGAGAACTTCTTAAACCATGACTGGAATCTCCTTACACCAGGGTCGTCTGTTGTCAGGAGGTTAAAACGAAGTGCCCTTGAAATACAGTTTGTGCAATTGCTCTTACAATAATTTATTCGGTGCATTTATTGCCCCAATGTTCAAGTATAAATCATCCAACCGCGCCTTTGTTGCATTGACAACTTCCAGTGAAGAGACAGACACAGACTGAGCTAATTACACCACATGCTGAGTTGGTTCAGGTGACTGACATACACCCAGCATCATTGGCCTGCTTCAGCACTGTGTCTCAAAAGATTCATGAAAAAGGGCTCTTCTGTGGTCTCGGACTGTTAATGTAGGCAATGGAAGAGAACCCAGAGGCCCTCTGGACCTCCTTGCACACCTTCTCTTTATCTGTGTTCCAATAAATGTTTCCGCCTAAAGAAGCCCGCTCCCTGCAGCTGCCACTCCCTCGCTCACGTGGACAACACTTACAACAGGCGGTGTGTTTAAGCTCCCGTCACACCGTTTATTTGTTTTTGACGCAGCACAGTCCCTGCTTTGAGGGTAGAGTCAGGTTTGAAAGACCTTATTATGTAACGCCGTTGAATGTCAATGGGGGAGAAAATGACATGAGCACCGCTGTATGGGTCAGCAGGCTAATAAATCTACACTATTGTTCAGAAACAGCGCCAGAGCGCCGGCGGTTCAGAGCTCTTTTGTACCAGAAACAAAACGAAGTACAAAAATCAGTTTACTCACATTGAAAACCTGGAAGAGGGAAGAGGCTTTGAATTTAAATTCCTTTGGCGTTATACAAGTTGAATGAATTCGGTTTGGACATCAGGGTTTGCAGCTCACATCATGATATGACACTCAATGGTACAGTGGGGTCAGGCAGTCTACTTTTAAAGGTAACAAATCAGCAGGATATATTTTGTATCAAAAAAAGAAATGTTATTATTTTGATACTACTTACAAGAATGCACTTTTTAAACAGAGACCTACACGGGATTTTTGTGAAAAAAAAGCTTGAAAAATATGTAGGCCTATAATGACAAGTGACCCTAGAAAAAAAATATTTGAACCATTTGTAGGTCCCATCCAAGCTGACGTAGCCAACAGGATACGTGGAAATTGCATCACTAATTTTCGAGACTGATTCCTATACTATTACACTAAAGTTTCCATTTTGCCACACACTGATTTTTCCCAGACTGTAGTGTATATGGCTGTGAACTTTATGCGACTTTTGAGTCAGTCTTTTCGGAAAAATGAAATTAAGAAAATAATTGATTTTACTCCATGACAGACTCAAGTAATAAATCCAAAGTTTTATTATAAAGTTCCAGTGAGTGGCTGCTTGAGTTTGATGTTTAAAATAGTTTTCTCTGTGACGTTAATTTAGAACTCAGTTGTTTTTTTCTCTCTATGGACTTTGGTGAAGACAAGTAGATGGTTTTAAAGCACCTCCAACCTGACTTGTCCATATGGTTCAGTAAAAATAGACACATAACCTAGCTTAAACTTAATACAGTCTGGATGTTGAGTTGATGAATAGTAATATTGATGCGCTATAACAACACCATAGGCCTTGGACCTGCCAAGTTCAAGAGACCACTTTGTAAATCAGTGCAGTATTTCCAAACACAGTCAAGTCCCCAAAGTTGGGATTCCATCTGGTTTTAGTCCAAGTCTGGAATCTGTCCCATCCGTCAGACAAATCTGTGTCAAACACCCACTCCTCCCATGTCTTATTGAGATGATGTCAGCATTGTTGTGGTTCCCTTGACAACATAAGCCCAAAAAATAATGATGCAGCAGGTTGTTTCACAGCCGAGTGTCACAACAGTTTGCGGGAGTCATTGTCCGTGTGGTCAGAGTGCAGAAGTGCAGGCAGAAGAGTCCGGTAGAATCTAAGACAGACTCAGTCAGGTGCTGCCATCTGTGGTTATCTGTGGTTTCCTTGGTTCCAGTTCAGCCTTGACTTCAAGCTGTGTTTGCATGAATCAGCAAACTTTTTAGCTTTTTAGACAATTGTACTGCAGTATGTTGGGGGTCTGGAAGGGAAACCACTGTGCTTTGTAGTTTTGTTCATTTAGTTGCACCGTGAGCGATTAAGTTCCATTACCTCTGTGGCCTCGTAGACCAGAACTAAGTGCACCTTTATTACACACCATAAGTTACGGTGTGTAATAAAGATGCACTTAGTTTTTTCAGATTCCTTTCATCGTTTGTCTTTTCATTCACCGTAGATGCACTTGTTTTGTTTTTTCAGATTACTTTCATCGTTTGTCTTTTCATTCACCGCTCCTCTGTTCCTCTGTTCCTCTGTGTACTCCCTGATGCCATGTCTGAAGAAACAGAGCAAATGTAAAAGAGTGAAACAATTGGAGAGTGAATGTGATTGGTCAGACATGTGACTGACAGCTCATTCATCCAATCACAGCTGCTGTCAACATTTGACGTTGAATTCTGTCGTTCCTTTCCAACTTCTGTCACTTCGAGTCAACATGTTTTTAATTCACAAAACAATAATTAATGGTTTTATAGAGTGATAAAATTCATTCGTTTTTGACATATTGACAATATACATCACATCACTCTGAAAACAGCGCAGCACTTCATTGTTTTTCCGAGGCCTCTCCCTGCAGCCACACCAGCAACAACAGTGGTTGTATCCATTTCTTATTAACATTTTATTGGACTGATTAAACCACTTTTCATATTTTCCATTTTCTTAAATTCAGTCCAGCTTTTCATTTGTGATCAATTTGACCTGGATAATTGAGACTCCACAGTCATTAGGTCTGGCCCATGTATTTACAATAACCACAGTGCAGACGAACACCGATATACAGTTTCACATTTAGGCCTCCTTTACTGCACTACAGTGTCAGTTTATTGCCGACATGTAAATCGAGGACAAGAAAAGTGGACCAGTGTATGAGAAACAATGACATATTTTTGACAACAGCCGAACTCCACCTGTTCACTTCTCAGGAATATTTATGTCAACCGTGGCTGTGTTTCATTATCCAGAGCCGTAACCTCATCACTCTCCTGTTTCACTCTGTGTACAAACAAACAAACCTGTGAGTTTTTGTTTCTACACAAACAGGTTGTTTTTGATCCCTCCCCTCAGGTGTGTGACTCTTTTCTTCCTCTTTTGTTTTGTGTCCTTCAGAAATGGTTCAGGCGACGTTACGCACAGTGGCGACAGTCTGAGGGTCTTCCAGCCAAACTGGGCTCGGTTTTGGATTAAGGGTTCTGCTTTCCCGAAGGCCCCGAGGCTCATCGCTGACCCCGTTTGGCCAAGACAAGAAGACGTCTTCACCTCATCCTCGTCTTCCTGCTCCTCCACTACCTACTACTCCGCCTTCCTCCTCCACCTCCTCCTGTGTTCACGTCTCTTTGTTGTATCTATGAAGCTATTTTAACTTACAGAATGTGAAGTTGTATGTGTTTTTGTTGCCAATTATAACCTCCATGTTTACAGAAATAAATGTATTGATATTAAGTTAAATTTGACTCCAGATTTAATTTTTTTTCATTGACAAAAACATCACAAATTCTGACTGTTTTAAAACATGTTTTCCTTAGTTTAAATAATTGTGTATAGTATAATATTTTTGAGACAACAGACACTTCAAAATTTAACAAATTTAACAGTAGAGCTACAGTATATGGTCATGGAATACTGTATTATCAGAGGGAAAACTCAAAAATAAAGGAAAAAGTATTTTTAAACATTTTGGTTAGGAATATTTTCATTTCCAAGAAAAGGATCATTAACTGACATGTGACATCTGACTTATCACTGCAGAAGTTCAAAATTCAAAAGATGGGTTAAAGTAAAGTACTTGGTATAATTTAATACAATAAACATTATATATTCTTTTACATTTTGCTTGTTTTTCCAATGGGAAAACACATCCCTTGTGAGTCTGCACACTGTTGGCCCCACATGTACTGAGGAAGCTGTGCTACACAATGATGGAGTGAGGTTTAGAAAAACTAGGTTGGAGCCTGGGGGGCATGGGGGGGGGGCTATTGTTTGCATGCATTGTCTACAACACGTATGTCCGTCAGCGGGGGGCAGGAGTGGACGCCGAGCTGTTCACTGGCCAGTTAAGATGTGAGGAAGAGGAAACACAACAGACGCAGCTGGAAAACTGAGCTGCTGTCCAGAAAAGCTGTCTGGGACGTGTCCAGGAGTTAGGGGTGGAATGATGCGAGGGCGGGAGGGTGTGTGTTGAGGGCAGCTAAACAAATGGCAGGTGATGTCATTTCATTGTCCACTCTGGTCCCTAGAAAGGAGACATGATCTCACGTGAAGTTCATGTAATTTTCCAAAATAAACTCAACACGTGTGTTCACCCTGGGTAATTAAAAAAAACATATTATATATTCTTAAAAATGGAGCTCACATCTGGAAAGGTTTTTGTGTCTTTACAAACAACAACAATTCTGTTTTATGAAGGAACCTACTGTACTAATTAGAGTCCACTCACACACACTTTCAAACCTCAGTGGGGAGTCACACACACACACACACACCACTGCTGTGGAGGACTTTCTTTTAGGAGAATCAAGACCAAAATCCTTCTTAGCTTCATCAGTGTGTGTGTGTGTGTGTGTGTGTGTGTGTGTGCGTGTGTGTGAAGAGACGTGGAACTGAGAAAAGAGAGGATGAAGTTTCCTGCCAAGGATCAGGCAGTGGAGGCGCTGTGATCGTGGGAACCTTTTCCTCACAGCCAGTTCAACAGAAACCAACACTGGACCAACAGGTAGAGCCACTGTTCATTAGAACACACACACACACACACACACACGTACACAAACACACACAATGTTGTGATTTACAGCCCCCGTCACTCTGTGTACTCTGGCGTCTGCCACACACACGTTCAGCAGCTAGAATATCCTTGTATAATTTTTTTAGATCAGCTTTAAAGCTGCAGTACCAAACTCAAAATACTTCACCTGAAAACTAGCTTCATTCTTTTGCTACTCCTGGATCTAGATTTTTTTTTTTTCTATTTTCAGCTATTTGTCACCACCAGTGCAGGGCTGTTATTGTTGATCGACATATAATTTTAACTACTTCCTGTTAGCTTCCTAGTTTTCCAATCAGGTTAATCGCTTATGCGGTGCAGCTGTAGTATTTAAAACAAATGTTATGTGTGTGTGTGAGACTGTAAATGTAGAAATACTGAAAAAGAACACGTTGTGGTGGATCAGTTGCCTCTTCCTTTGTGTGTTTTCCTCTTTCCACATGGGTGTGAAAATAAAAGCACACTGGAGAAACAATGCACTCACGCACGAACGTGTGTGCACACAGATTCCATTGTCAGTGTACCAGGATGTTTCTGAATGACTGTGTTTATTAGTTCAGTTTGACGTAAAACGATGCGATCACAAAGGATGACAGCTGCAGCTGAGACCTGGAGAACGTGTGTCGCTGCAGGATCAGCTGACAACCAAGCCATGCATGCAACTGACTTGTTTTTTTAAATATTTCTCTTGTACAAACACACACCCAACCTGGAATACAAGATATATATATATATAAGCAATATCGCACCACCTACAGGAGAGCAATACAAACCACATGTTAGAATTTATCTTTATGAACGAACGTATTTGAGAATGTGATAACAATGTGTAGTATTTTCCTCATCATAGTAAAAAATAATGGCATCACAACAACAACCGGTGACCTGTCTTGACCCTTAACCTTTGCATTAAATCAATATCACCCCAAAAACAATGAAACATGATAAAGCTGCACTGAGTTTCAGGGCTCGTCTGCTGTGAAGGTCAGTTTCACTGTCAACTCAGGCTAACAAAAACACAACGACATACTATTTTTAAAGTGCTACATATAAAAATATGAAACTGCAGACACTTTGAATCCAAAATCAACACAATCACACGGCTGCACCTTCCTGTCCAAACAGACTAACACTGACATTTGTAAGCCTAAAATACACAACAAGCCATAACCTACACTTACACACAGTGTTACTGAACATCAGGTCCACACCCACACACTTAAACACACAAAGGTTTTATTTTTTTTACAAAACAACAACTCTCCGGTGTCCTGTATTTAAAGTCTGCTAAATCTTTACATTTCTAGAATTAAAAAAAAAAAACGATAAAAAGAAATGATGTCGATCAGTGTATGATAAAGTCTCCTCTGTCCGTTCTCAACTCAGTCAGATGGCAGAACGGTGCGAGTGTCGAAATGGTGAGAGACAATGTGTCTGTGTGAGTGCTGAGAATGCAAATAAGGTGCAGTTTTTGTGTGTTGCTAAGAAAACTCTGCAGAGCTGCGAAGAATCTGCCAGACTCGGGCGTCTGTGTGACTTTTCTTTTTTCACCCTGACTTTTATGCTCCATTTAATGTGACACTGATTAGGTCATTACATCACTGCCTGTTGAATAAACCACTGAGAATTGAAAAATAAAATTCCTAATATGTCTCATTGCCGTGTGTACGTTTATAGATGCGTATCAATAATTTACACAAAGGCAGAGCTCAAGAAACAACATCAGTCACTGATCTTTCAAAAGACTCACTTATAAAATCCACCCAAACACACTGATACAGTCAACTCAAGTCGCAGATTGTGTTTTTTCTGTGGCAGAATAAAATATCAATTTCATGTTGTAGGTTTAGGCCTAGACTGGACTGCACGACGCCAACCAATGGGAAACGTGTGAGAAGAGCAAGAGCTGTTGACGATATGACAGTGTCTTGGTTGAACACTGGTTTCCTGTCCTTGGCAGACGTTGTGGGTTCAATGCACACATAAACATCCTGTGTGTAGACACGGTGAAGTAAGGTACTGTGTGCAAACGCATGAATAGATCTGTGTGTGTGTGCGTGTGTGTGTTATTGCAGTCAAACCTTCTGAACACGGGTGTGGAGGCAACACAATATTTACATATAGAAACGACCACACAGGGGTGGAGTGGTGAGTACACTTGCCCTACACTGAAAGATCACTGTACCAATTCCAATTCTAATTGGGGTAACTAAAGACGCAGATGGAAATAAGAGTGACTGAACATCACAAGGAAAACATTGAATCATTTTGATAGAGTGCAGGTTATAATCACTGAGGTCTGAGAAGGTCTGAGAAGGAGAATGATGGTTCAGTTGCTAGTCCAAGAGCTTCTTCAAGAGAGATGCCATTTAACCACAAATCCACATATTTTGGAATTTTACCACAAGTTGACACCAGGACATTGGTGTCTATTTAACTTATTCTTCTAAAATGTGCAAATATTTGAACGCAGGCGAAAGTATCCGCAGCTTCTGTCAGATGTCATCTACTATGAGACCAGTTGTGTTGAGGCCATACTGAAGGACAGAGACACATACTGCTTCATTCATGACCAACATTTCATCTGATGTCTCCACCATGTGCCTCTGAATCCCACCACAGTGGTGTTCCAGTAGACGTCCATGATGAAAGCCCAGACCTCTTTGTTGACTTCATTGTGGTCAGACTGTGGGGATATTCAACCAGTCACGACCTTTAGAGGAGCTTCTGAGCCGATCGACCCTAAATGCATGAGCGGACTGGGCCAAGACAAATTTTTTCATGAAGGGAATAAACGTTCCCTCAGTGAACACACATGTGGTCTCCAATCAGAAGCAGATGCTGAGGCTGACAAATAAGACGCCATTTACTGGTTTCATCATAGCCAGAAAAACATAGTGAAATAAAAATCAGCAGGCTGACAAATAAATTCATACTCATGTGGTTCTGATGGAGACGTTGGGTTCAGCTCAACTGCATCACTAAATCGTTCAGGTTCGTCATTTTAGCAACAGATTGAGAAAGAATTGTTTCAGGTTCCAGATGTGACTCACTGTCACTGCTGCCAAATTTGCCAGGGAATCAAAATTTACAACTCAGATCCTAAATAAATCATAATGTGGAAATTGCCAAGGAACGCAAGGCTCCAGATTTCATGCCTGAAAAAAAGCAGAGACCGACAAACAGAGATAGAGAGACAAGCAGACAGACAAACATGTTTATCTCCTAAAAGTTCCTCCTAAATATTGTTTTATTCTCTTTTTTAATAACAAAAATAGACCTCCACTGACATCAGGTGCCCACTAAGTCGTTTGGCTCCACTCTGGTTCTCGTGGTGGTACGTACTCTTCTGGAAGCTGTTTAGGTGTCGCCAGTTTTTCCACACGTGCGCTGGCTGTGGCTCTTCTCGCTGCCTTGGACACCTGTGTTTTACAGACAAGTAACCATGTTAGAGTTCTTTAAAGGACGGTAGAGTTATATATGTATATTGAGTGATAGTGCTTTCTCACAGCCCAGATGGACTCCTCCGGACGTCCCATCTTAATGCAGATGTTGCCCTGCTTCAATCTGGGCAGTGACAGCTGCAGCAGTCGATGTGAGGCCTGAACTTCCCCGGAAGACACAGACACCGGGGACATGATGCTCTGTGGGGCAAAATAAGTTCAAACATGGGTTTAAAGCACACAAC